CAAAAGGAGCCCAGGGCCTGGTGCTATTTCAAAGGAGGCTGGGCCTCCTAGAGTGGTGGAACTGGGAAAGGGGAGCCTGGGTGTTCCAGTCTGAGCACCAAGGAAGCACATCAGAGGCCTGGCCAGCTGCAGGATGCCACAGAGTCTGTTTCAAGGACAGTCCAGCTGTTTCTGAGCCACAACAGACTCAACCCTGGAAATACCAGCTTAGCGTGGAGGCCAAACTCCTAGTCCTCCGAAGGCCAAGCCCTGCTCTGCCCCTGCTCTGATAGCATCTAGGATGGTCTTCCAAAGTGTGTGTTTCAAAGAAAAAAAGACCAGGAAGAGGACACCAAAACACACCTACACCAAGGTTGTGTGAACATAGAAAATTTTCTCTTTTGCATTTTAAAAGTATTCTACACCTTGCATTTCAAAAGAATGCCTGGTGGCTCTCCTGTGTAACAGTTCCCATCCTCAGCCTTTCCTCCTGGGCTGTGCCTCAGGGGAGGTTCATCCCCCCCAACCCCCACCCCCAACCAAGCACCGGGCTTGGCCAGCATCTCGGACCACCTGGCCTGCCTTCTTTATGGAGTGCCAAAGAGAGCTCAGAGGCATTTTGGCACCAGTTGTCGATGTTGTCACCTCATGGCCCAACTGTGGCTGCATGCTTTGGCCACACAAACCTTCGCACTGACCCCTAGTTTTCTGCTGCTAAGAACCTGCCCCCAACAGAGAACATTCCTATCTTATCCTGCTCCCCAAGTCAACTCAATCCACACCCCTCCCCCTGCTCATTAACTGGGTGATCACCCTGCCCCTGCACTCAAGGAACTGGCTGAACTGGGACACAACCTCTTTCTGTTGGGAAACAAATGTAATACTTTAAGTTGGTTTCTCCGGCTACCTTTCTCCTGGGTTCTTTTGGCCTTTTTCGTGTCAGTAGCACCCACTGGAACTTTCGTCTTTTCCAGGGTAATGCCACCCCAGGAGACCCTTCATTTCATATCCCCCAGCCCAGCATGATGGGAACTTGAAGACTGAAACTAACCTACTGGCTTCCCCAAGTCCTTCCCCCATTTCACTCCCTATTGGTGTTGTGCGTATAGGTTTATATATCAGTTCAGGTGCTCAGTCGTGTCCGACTCTGTAACCCCATGGACTGCAGCACCTCAGGCTTCCCTGTCCATCACCAACTCCTGGAGCTTGCTCAAACTCATGTCCATCGAGTCGGTGAGGCCATCCAACCATCTTGTCCTCTGTTTGTCCCCGTCTCCTCCCAACTTCAATCTTTCCCGGCATCAGGGTCTTTTCCAATGAGTCAAGTGTCTTCACATCAGGTGGCCAAAGTATTGGAGCTTCATTCAGCTTTAGCATCAGTCCTTCCAATGAATATTCAGGACTGATTACCTTTAGGATGGACTGGTTTGATCTCCTTGCAGTCAGTCTGAGGGACTTTCAAGAGCCTTCTCCAACACAACAGTTCAAAAGCATCAATATTTTGGTACTCAGCTTTCTTTATGGTCCAACTCTCACATCCATCCATATTTTATATATATATATATATATATAATTTTGCTTATTTACTTAGGCTGTGCTTGGTCTTCATTGCTGTGCAGGCTTTTCTCTAGTTGCAGCAAGCAGGGGCTACCCTCTACCTGCCATGTGCAGGCTTCTCATTGAGGTGGCATCTCTTGTTGTGGAGCATGGGCTCTAGGGGGCTTGGGCTTCAGTAGCCAGGGCTCCCAGGCTCTAGAGTGCAGGCTCAGTAGTTGTGGCGCACAGGCTGAGTTGCTCCTTAGTTTTGGGATCTTTCCAGATCAGGGAAGAAACCTATGTCTCCTGCATCGACAGGCAGACTTTTAACACTGAGCCACCTGTGAAGCCTTAATATTTATTTACTTATTTGGCCTGTGCCAGGTCTTATTTGTTGCACACAAGAGCTTTAGTTGCAGTGGGTGCATGCAGGATTTCCACCTGCAGTATGTCGGATCTTACTTCCCTGACCAGGGATCGAACCCAAGACCCCTTCATTGGGCACACAGTCTTAGCCACTGGACCAGGAAGTTCTTTAGAGAGTTAAAGAACTCTGAAAGCACACTTTCCCAGCCTGAACTCTAAACTAACTCTATGTTGTTTATGTCCAATGGTTTCTAAACAGATACACGAACTAACTCAAAGGTTGTTTATGTCCGACTAGATTTCCAACCATAAATCCTGTCTCCTTCCTGAGACCAATCTTGGGTTTCTCCAGAGCACTTGGTGGGTTCTCAGTAACAGAGCCCTAACACTGACCTTTCCCAACGGACATTCCTCCTACCAACCCGGCTCTGGGGTGCGGGGAAGACACTGCTGCAGCAGCAGAACAGGAGCAGGGTCAAGTGGAGGGCTCTGCCCCCCCCAGGGGCCTAAGGCGGCTGGGAAGCCCTCTTCACCCCTCTGGTTCCACCGCAAAGGCAGGTGCTTGCTGCCTTGGCGACTGATGCCCCAGTCAGCCACTTTGTTACTCACCAAAACCTTAACAAAAGCTGACAGCAGGGAGCAGAGAGGGAGCGCGCACAGGAATGGAGCTGGCCCCAGGGGAGAGAGACAGAGGAGATAGCTGGCTGTGGTTAAGTCATTTATTGATTTTATTTCTAAAACACACATAGCACCACTTTGCCTCTTCCAGAGCTTCAAAGAGCTAATTAACCGCCCAATGAGCCCACCAGGGAAACGGAGCTTGTGGGGGAAGCAATGAGGTGAAGCCAAGGTGAAAGAGGGCTGCCAGGCCCCAGGCCCTGCCCCCGTTCTGTCGGCTAAGGACAGGAAAAATCTCCTCTCCCTTTCAGTCAAGTGACCTTTAGGGCCTGCTTGGGGAGACCCAGTGAATAGGTCTGGCTTCTGAGGCTCCATTAACCCCTGCAGGCCTAGAGCAAACCAGCCCAGGCAAGCTGGACAGGGCTCAGACACCAAGGGCCTGCTCAGGATAAACAGCAGGGCTAGCCCCAGCTCCAAGCTGCAGAAAAGCCCAGGCCACCGCTGTCCCCCCCTGGCCCAGTGCTGTGGGCTGCAGAGCTTGCTGTCCCTGCACCTGCCCAAAGGAAGGGAAGGTGGTGGGAAGCGTGGGCTCCCATGCAACTCCCCCGGGAACTGCCGCAAAGCAGCAGCAGCACTGAACAAGGCCCTCACTCACTGCCCCACAAGTCCTGAGCTGGGTTTTCCTGGAGCCACAATGGGCCTGTCCACCAGCCCAGACACAAGAGAACAAAACAGCCTGAGACCCTTTGTGAAGTGCTTACAAAGCACAAGGTGGGGCCTCTTCTCCTGCCCCCACCTCTCCCCAAAGCCTGCCGTGCTGGCAGGCTGCGAGTCACCAGCAGAGAGAGAAAAAGCCACTTGGCGGTTTTAATTTTAGCAGCTTGGAGCCTGACAGGCAGGATTAGTTGGGCCTTGACCTTTCGTGCTGAGGCCTCCCCAGGCCCAGGGCCTCAGTCAGGTGGCAGCTTCCAGGAACGAATCACAACTGGAACTCATCGAATGTGGGGGTCCGAGCCCCAGGGAAAGGCCTTCAAAAGGACAGAGACCAGGAAGGGGGAACCTGGTCTTCAGCAATTAATCAGTAAGCTAGCAGAAGGTGGGGCTGCCCACACAGCAGCTGCACAGGGAGGGAGAACAGGGAAACAACGGGGGGTGGGGGGCTTCCTTAATGAAGGTCCAGAGGCTCCCCTGGGAAAGGGACAGTGGGACCAGGTGCTGAACACAGCTTCGCTAACTGGTGGTGGCACTGATAGTGGCAGCAGTGTAAGAGAGAAGAAAAACAACAGACCCGGAAAACCACACTGCTCTTTTATTCAATGGAACACCCCCCCCTTTAACGCAGTGTTGAATCATACACCAAAAAGCCCAGAGAAATTTCTGCTGATAAACCAGTGAAGAGAACGCGCATCATACATTATTGTCAACATAATCACTCCATGAAGAGGGGAAGAGGAAAGGAAGGAAGCAGAACGAAGAAAACAAGGGGCTCAAACCCCTCGACACTGCAGAACATTCAGACGTTTGGGATTAAAATAAATTTTAAAAGGTAGTCTTCCAGGAAGGAGAGGAACAAATGGAATCTGAGGCAGCTCAGGGAGTGCTGAAAGGGCTCTGCAGGCTGCAGACAAGTCCCAGGCAGCTTACGTGGCCTCACCTACCATGGGCAGGGGTGCCAGGATGTTTATGGACCCTGAACCTGGGGACTAACCCACTACTCCACGTGGGTGGCAGAGACAAAACCCCGCACTTAAGATTAAGGGGGAAAAAATATCTCAGCTTGAAAAAAATATGGCAGTTTGAAAATCTTGGAACCAAAGAAGACACCCACCCCACCCCGCCACACTGATGGCCCAAAGTCTCTGCCTAAAAACCACTTGCTCCTCTCTCCTTAAAGAACCAGGAATGAGAAAAGGGAAAGGAATCTAATTGCAGCAGAAGACCGGGGAGAGCATCTCCTTGGACGGAGTCTGAAGAAAGGAAGAGATAAGGAAGTAACAAAGAAAAAAGAAAAAATTAATAAAAATTTCACAATATGGAGCCAGCGTGTTCCGATTCCGTCCATAAAAATAACTCAGGCTGCTTTGCCGAACCATCCTGTCCACCAGGGGCGCTGCTGAGGCTGTCTGCCTGGAAGGGTCACCAATGGGCGCGGAAAGTCCTCACTCTCATGGCTCGGGCCATCGCCGCCGCGGGGAGGGATCCTGGCGGCCCAGTTTGGGGAGAGGCAAAGGGATTTGGGTGAGGAGAGAAAGAAGACAAAGAAGACACTCGATGCTACGGGGCGCCAGGAGAGCCCAAGCTGGCGCCCCTATTACCACCTGCCCATTCCCAAGCGAGTCCTCAGTCGCTTGGCCCAGCCCGGTGCGTGCACACACACACATGCGTGCACACAATCACATGCGTGCATCCCAATGTCTGGCTCCATATGGTGAGGTTCGGCGTGTGTTTAAACGAGACCAATTCTCTCTATATATAATATATATTTTCTTAAAAAACCAAGTCTAGTTCTGTGGTGGAGGCGGTGGGGGAGCTGGAGGCATCCCGAAGGGTGGCATGCCCGCCACCCCCATGCCCATCATGGTGACAAAGTTAGAAGGGTCCATGGGAGGCGGAGGAGGAGGGGGCGGGGCATACATCATGCCGGCGGAACCAGGCGGCGGAGGCGGCGGAGGGGGAGGGGCCCCGGGCGGCAGAGGCGGCTGGACCCCTGGGGGCAGGGGCACCATAGTGGGGTTGCCTTGCATCTGAGGGGCTCCTGGAGAAGCTGCGGCAGCCGCCTGCTGCTGTTGCCATGGCGGGATGGACCCTGTGCCAGCGCTCGTGGTGGTAGTCGTCGTATCTGGGGTGGTAAAGAAGCCCAAGGTCACACGCGCGGGGGCACACCGCGGCTCTCTGCGGCTGCTGCCTTGGGATGGGGGGCGAGGGATGCCTGCTCCTTGCTTGGCATGCGGTACGGTGGTGGGGGGCGGGCGGGCGGGGTGGTCCTGACGATGGGGGTGGAGGGGTGGGCAGGACTACCCTGGGGTCAGCCTCAAGGTCTCTAGGCTTAGCAGAGTAAGCCCTTTTGTCACCAATGCCCCTGGAAGGGCCAAGGGGAAGGTACCAGACACAAGAACCGGCTCTGACATCCCTCCGCCCATCCGCCGCCACCACCGAACGGCACATTCAACCTCAAGGCCACAGCTACTCCCCGGTCCCATCCCTGCAGTCTCTCAGGCCCCAGTCACATCCCTCTCCAGAGCATGCATGCACCCCCACAACCCCGGGCCTAAGGCGCAGGCGTGGGCCAGCCAGTGGCTCCCAGCCTACGATGGCAGGCTCCCCTCCAGCCCCCACAAACCTCTCTCCAGACACAGCCTCGCCAGACATCAGCTTTCTTTCCCCAGACCCCCAGGGGCCACAAGGCCCTTTCTTTTCACCCTACAGCAGAGACCAGAGTCTCATCCCAAGGTGTCTGCCTGCCTGTCTGAGATGTGAGGGTCTCTCATTCCTCTCAGCCCCACCCTCCCAATCCCACCCACCCCCACCAGCCCAAAATATTCCACTCACTTTGCTGCCATGGCAAGGGGGTACTGGAAGCCATACTGCTGCTGGGCGGAGGGGGTGGCGGAGGCTGCTGCTGCTGCTGTTGCCATGGGGGAAGAGGACCAGAGGGAGGGGGCGGAGGCTGCCCACTGGGAGGCGGCGGCGGCGGCGGCATCATGCCCATAGGTGGCGGCGGCATCATACCTGCAGAGAGGTGGAGAGGGTGAGGCCTCAGGAGAGGAGATGGGTTCACCACAGGGCACCCACTGCCTCCCCAGCCTAGGCAGGCAACACCCCTCAGTAAGCACCAACCAGGCTGTTACCTTTTCCTTGATGCAGGCGATAGACCCCAGAGCCCACAGGCGTACTTCCCAGGTACTGATCTTGATGGAAGGAAAGAGCAGGGACTTAGCAGGACACTGGAAGTGACCGGTGAAGATATACCCCACCAATAGCTCAGTCACTGGCAGAGATGGCCATCACTGCCTTACAAGAGCCATTCTGAATGCTGTCTCTATGAGGCAGGTCTGTGTATACCCCACATAGAAATCCCTTCCTGAACCATAAGGGAAACTTCCTCCCGACCTGGAAACCAAAGCCTCGGCACAAGACTCAGCACCGACACTCAACCCCTGAGACCTGCTCCCAGCCATGTAAAGCCCTGCTTACCCCAAAGCCCCAAGGTTTCTGGTCTGACACTTACTTACCCATTGGAGGAGGGCCATGGTGCCCAGGTGGGTGGGGGCCCTGGTTCATCGGTGGTGGCGGCGGCTGCATCCAGGGGGGCGGGGGTCCATTAGGGTTGTGCTGCATGGGATGTCCACCATGCCCACCTGTGAGGCTGGGTAGCGGGTGTGGGAAGCTGTGGGGGCCACCTCCAGGCCCACCAGGGCCACCTCCGTGCATGCCATGGTAGGGCCGACTCTCTGATGGCCCAGAATTCATCCAGGGTGGGCGGCTCTGGGTAGTGGACATGAGAGACTACGTGAGAGCATTCCCGCCAGCGTCCCTGCCTGCTCCCTTTGGCGGCAACACTGTTCTTTCGGCTGTGCCACAGGACCAGGACACAAGGCCAAGACCTCCCCAAACTGAGAGGTCCCCAAACATTCCTGATGGCCCGAAAGAACAGTGTTGCCGGCCATGTCCACCTGTCCTGCCCCAAGCACCTGGCCACGTCCCCCCATCTCACGGGAAGAGAAGAGGGGGCCAGGTTTTGAGAACCACCCTCTGAAACTCACCGGTGGAGGTGGGTTGTTGGCAGGAGCAGCAGGCCGAGGTGCACTGGCCAGTGGTGTGGTGGCAGGCCCAGATGTGGAGCCCACAGATGCGGGCACAGGGGCCTCCCCCAGTTCAGCCATGAGGGACAGGTACTCTTTATCCATCCGTGCTTTATCCTGAGCTGACTGAGGGTCACCAGGCCTAAAGGTGGGTTAGGGCACAAAGAGAAAAGAGGTGGAGAAGACTCATTAAGATAGAAACCTTTACTTCGAGGAATCTACACAGAGGAAGTTCAGAGGCATTCAGTCACCCTTTCTAACCCCTTCCTGGAAATAGTCCCATCAGCTCTTCAGCTCTGTGCCCAGCTCTGCATCTGGGGAAAGCACATGGACCTCTGCCACAGCAGAGACCCTTGGGCAAGAAGAGAAAGGAAGCCAGGAAAAGTCCAGGTTTTCCCAAAACAGCAAGTTTCATCAATTTCCACACTGCAGGTATCAGGGAAGGAAAATCTATGCAAGACCAGAGCAGCTGCCAAAACTTCCTTAACAAGGCTTTTTATATTTGCCACTCAAAGTAGAAAAACATTGCTATCAAATGCTGGATTGCAACTGGTCAAAACTACAAGCTGTCTTGTAATACCAACCATAAGCAACAAATAGCAGTTAGCAATGAGTCACAGTGAAAACACCTATACCGAGAAGGGAAGTTTTCAGGTTCCCTGGGCTCAAGATAAGCAATAAACTAGGGATGTTTCTAATCATCCTGGGCACTGCATCACACTGTTAATAGATCAAACTCAATGAATGGAAGCTCTTTGGTCTGCAAGTTAACACGAGCTGCCCTATACACCAGAAGCTACCAGGAAACCCTCACCTTTGGAACTTGCAATCGGAAGCAATGTGGCCAGCCCCTCCACACTTGGTACACACTGTGGTATTGGTAATGCTGCGGGTCTCAGAGCTCTGCCAGGGTCTTAAGATCCTGTTGAGAGAAAAAGGTCACCTCAAGGGCTACGGCCAATCACCCTTCTTCCATAGGTTCTGGTTTCTGTGCATGTCCCTCTAAACCAATCACATACACACCTGTTATCATCTTCCCGAAGGGTTCCATTCAAGCGAGCCAACTCTCGAAGTTGCATCTTCCGTAGGTCGTTCTGGTCCTCAGGGGTCTCTATACCCTGCTTCAGGATGTTTCTTATCTGGTGGAGACACAACGGCAACAGTTATGTAAGTCCTAGGACTGCCACCTAGATTTCTGGCCGGAGGCTTCCCTCCTGACTCCCTTACCTGTTCTACGGCTTTCTTCACATTCTCCATGGTATTGGCAGTGACCAGGGCGTGAAGCGGCTCATCTTCTCCTGGCAGCATCTGGCCATCTTTACGCCCAACTTTTCCTTCTTTCACAGAACCCTTCCCCCGGATCATGATCTTGGCATTACACTCCTTCTCTATGTTCTTCAAGGTGTTCCCTCTATCAGAGGCAGAAAAGATGGCTTTAATACCCAACATGGGAACTCAAGAGTGGCTCACTGGGCAGTGATAGGAAACGATGAATGTACAGAGTGGGATTTCCCACCAACAGCTCCATGATCTTTAAGTTAAGGTCACAGACAGCAATCCTCAAGATTTGACTTCTCTGCGGTGAAACAGAAAATTTTCTCACCAAAAGGTACTCACTCAGCCCAAGTGAACATCCTACCAAAAACAGGAAGATGGTACCCAAAAATGCACAAGACAGACATCTCCCAGGCCTTTGCATGCATGCTCAGTTACTAAGTCGCATCCGACTCTTTTGTGACACCCATGGACTGTAGCCCACCAGGCTCCTCTGTCCATGGGATTTTCCAAGCAAGAACACAAGTGCATTGCCATTTCCTCCTCCAGGGGATCTTTCCAACCCAGGGATCAAACCACATCTTTTGCATTAGCAGGCAGATTCTTTAACATCAAGCCACCCAGGGAGCCCCTCCCAGGTCCTTGGGAATTTTGTATTCCACAGAACAACAGGTACTCACCTTGGCCCAATCAGCAGCCCCACAAAATTGATTTCTGGATACTCATCTTGTGGGATCATTACTTTATCACTCACACGTGTTGCTGGAGGTCTAAGAAAGAAAAGACTCATAGACTCTGCACACTCCTGAGGTGAGACAGATAATCAACTCTTCTACAACTAACCTTCTGTACCACATGTTATAGGTGACAAGGGTTAAGGAGTGAGAGGTTAGTATCCACAATGCTCTAGCAGACCACACCTAATCCGCTGGGGTCTTTATCCCGGACCACCCAGTCCCCTGGCTTACTTGTAATCTGCAGGTGGCTTGAAATCAGGGTTGAGGGCAACCATTTCGGTGATGAGATTGTGCCGTTCCTCCTCAAGTTTCTTGCGGGTACGGAACTCACGAGTGTTAAGCCTCTTCCCCTCACTATTGTAGATGGGCTCAGGGGAAGGAGACCTGTGGGAAACAGACCACCGTCACCCCTCTGCCTTCACTTTACTCTCATTCCCACACGGGCTAAAATTAAGTCATCCCCAGCCCCTCTGCCTCTCAAGACCCTAACACAACACTCTTCGGAGGAACCGACCATAACGTGTGCTATTTAAAATTGTGTGAAATAGGGAGGTGGAAACTGGCTTAGCATCAGGGGGACTGGGGTGTGTGAGAAAGGAAAAAAGTGGTTTTGTTCTAAAAGTGATGAGAGGAAAAAAAGTCCTTCTAAGGGAAAATCTCTAGACTGTGAATGGCAAGGACTGTATCATCCTCTGGAGTCTTCTTGCCAAATATGAATTTTCTTTTGTTTGGGGGAAAAAAAACCATATTACAACTTTATGAACCACGGAAACCCCAAGTTTAGGTAAAATGTTAAACAACTCTTGCAGAGCTCATGCCCTAACAGAAAGAGAGGCTGTACCCCTACCACATAGTAAGTATGAGCTCTTTAACCCAATACAACTGGGACTCAAGGCTACTGCAGCTACTTGGCCCCCACAATGGAGAGAGATGATTCAAGGCTTCGTCTCTGCTTTTCCTTCAATGGCCTGGCTGGCTGTGTCCAAGGCCCAGGAGTCAACCTGTTTTCTGGCTGTTCGAGGTTAGGGAGTCTGGGTAGAGAAAACCGTTAAATTGCTAAAGCAGCTTCTCTGAGAGGCTGCAAATGCAGATTTGGTCAAGTATTTGTCTAGGGTCTGAACCTGCAAACAGCAAGGGGAAAACCTATGATTCTCCACCAGAGTTTACAAGTCCAGAAAGCAGATTTTCTCTCTCTCTCTTTTTAAAGTAGTAAAATGCTGTTGCTACAAGTAAAAAATAGCAATGATAAAATGATCAGTTTACCACAGCTGGATTTTGCGGTAATAAAAAAAAAAAAGAGAGAAGTTACACTCCTAGAATTCTGAGTTAAGATTACAAAAAGGACCATAGCTTGATATTCTGAATGAAAATTTAGTAGCAGCTGCAAGAAGGGAAGAGACCATGTGGATCAGGTTATTTTAAAAACATCCTGAAAGTAGTCAAGATTCCTATACCCTTTGTTTAGTTGAGAACCTTGCCTAGTTGGAGAGCAAGGACTGAACTCGGCTGCTCCCACTGTCTTCAGCCTAAAGCGAATCATGTCATACCACATTACACACACGATGGAATAAAAGGTCAGGTTTGTTCATGGCTAATGACGGCTAAATGACACCTCCGTTTCTAGCATTTGTATAAACTGTTAGCACAATCCAGTAATAGTAAACAAAGACAAACATACCCCAGCTCATTAGACTACCATCTTATACATTTAAATCTACAGGTTTTAAAACATTTTTAACTGTGCAACTTAAGCAACATCAAAATGGCATAAAGTGGCTTCATATTGAGAATACACCTTTTTAAGAAATAACCTTAAATGAGAAACTCTTGCATTTCCCTCCAACCTGGGCTCTTTCAAAGCAAAACCATCAGGCATTAATTAGGGCCTCTTTCAAACTGAATTCAAGGGAGGAAAAAAAAACTCTGCTCTGATTTTATTTCTAACATGCTTGACATTTCTAATTCCCACCTCATTCATAGCTGTCTAGAATTAAGCACTTCTGGCTAATAACCAAAAGAAGCTTTACCAGTACCAAATTGGTCATTTAAAGGCCCCACAACAGTGTAACCTCTTTCCAAATTGTGGAAGTGAAAGGCAAAAACCAATATTCTAGAGGTCAGACTGGCCCAACTTCTTCACTTTGAATAGGAATAGTAATAGAGGTCATCTAATTTCTAATCCAAATTCTCCAGGAAACAAAGGTTTGTTAAAAATTCAACTTTTTGAGGAACTGCCTGGTAACCTGTGGACATGTTATTAAAGGGAAAAAGGCCAAAAAGGCACTAAACAGTTGTGGTCTATAATCTATAAAGCAAATCTAAAAAAAAAAGTCAAAATATAAAACGTAACACAACCCTCCAACCAAAATCTACAGGTGAAAAAAAAAATTTAATTAACTCAAATATAAAGTATCAGTATGGAAGTTACTTTGCTTTCTGACACAGGGCACCAACAAAAAGGTGCTTATTTAAGTGAGTGGCTTCTAAAACCATTACATCATGTTCCTGATTTAAAAAGTTATTAAAATGGGCAGCAAGCCAAAACCACTACTTTTTAAAGCAAAGTGTTTTCAACTATGCTGCATGTACTAAGAGAAACTTCACTGGGGAGGCACATTGCCTTTCTATTAAATGGACCAGATTTTAGCTGTTCATATATTGGCCTGCCAATAAAATTCCTGTTAAAAAATTTCATTTCCCTCGAACTTTGTAGACTTTTTACTTTTTAGAGGTGAGAGAAATTACACACTGAAATGACATGACCACAGCTGTTTGAGGACCACACTCCCTTTAAAAAAAAAAAAAGTAATTGGTTGGTTGCTTGCCTTCCCAAAACATGTGAAAATATTCTGTCCCCTCCCAACACCCCAGGTAATGGCCAAGGCCGAAAATTAACTGGCAGCGATGAAGGAAGTTGGTTAGAATCTTGTCTATTTCAAAACCATGAGCAGGAGACTGCAGCATGAGCTGACCAGACTGAGTTTCTGGCCTGCTCAAATTCAGTGATGCTCAAAAATATTCTTATTCCCTACATTGTGTAGTACCTGTGAGGAAAATGCTACACCTGGGCTTTCAGCCAAAGGAGGTACTGAAATAGCTGGTTAATGGGCCACCTCACTGTCCCTACTAGTAGGTAAATCAGGTTAAAATCTATATGCTTTTCAATTGAAAACCAGTTGTCCATTTTCCTGTAACTTTTGATTCTGCTAGTAATTAAATTTCATTCCAATTTGCTAACTGATGACTGACCATACATACTGCTAATTTACACTCTAGTTCCCAGAATGGTCACAGTACCAGTCTTCTTACTAGGATTTTATTGAACTGACACAACATGTTGCCACCAGTAAAACGTATTGAGAAAAAGGTAAAAGCGTTACTGTCAGCTGGTTAAAACTGTTTCCCAACCTGTCCTCAGGGTTAGGGGGGATGCCCAGGTCTCCTGTGCGCAGTTTACGAGTCAGGTCTTCTATCTGCAGTTGCACTGGAAGAAACCAGGTTAGGAAAGAAAAAAAAGGATGGAAAAAAGACAATGTTACCAAAAAACATCTCAAATCTCAACAACAAGCATGAAGAACTCGGAGACTTTGAAAGGGACGACTGATCAGTGAACACATTGAGGCAAAAACTCCCAACCATCTACTGGCAGGAGTCCACTTACATCTCTAAGTATCTTTCACTTCAAAATGGTTATCACTTAAGGAAGCAAACAGTTCGTTGGAAGAGGGGTTAGCAGTATAGACTGTTCACTCAGGCTAACATCAAAACAATTATTAGGAGGCCTTTTACCTCTTCCTCTCCACCAAGGCTTGCTATACAATTGGCACTCAGAACTAAACCATGTATGTTATCACCAATACCCTGTTCCCACCAAATTACATTCTTGAGTGCAAGATTCTTAGATTTTATTTTTCCTTCATCAAAGCTTAAAACATAACCCAAAATGAGATTCAATTAACATGGGACAAGGAAAAACACCAGTTAAGCAAAGATCATTTTCACTGATACCAGGATTAAAATTCCTTAAACAAAACATTTAATAACCAATTCAACAGTCTCATATGTAAGTTTGTGCATATTCTTTCTGTAAAACCAGATCCGTACTAGTAAGGATCTCCCAATACCTGTTGTTTTTATTCAAATTTTATAACAATCCGTATACCTTAATACACCAGTAACAAGGCAAGAAGTTTAGACTCGCTCCTTACATGGGGAATAAAAGTAGGGGTGCAGAGAAGGAAAAGTGTGGGTCAAGGAGAGTTATGTGGGGCCCTCAGACCTTGACAACGAGGCTGTATATGAAAAAGAGAGATGAGGGTTTCACAAAAGTTCAGTGACTCCAGGCAAGTATTACCCAGCTGATTTTCTCAAGATAATGGGAAGTGTGAAGCCAGATCACTCTCCGCATGCTGAATGACCACCTGTTTCTTACCTTTGTAGCATCTGAGTGTCCTAAGCAGGTTATCTCTAACAAGGGCAAGTCTTAATGGGTTGGGTTCAAGTTGAGTTGACTCCAAGAATTAATGCATGTCTAAACCCAGACACCCTTCTAATTTTAAATACAGCCCACAGGGCTATACCCCACATCCACTCCAACTCAGAAGAAATGAAAATCTGCATTAATATCAAAAGAGGATATTGAGGACCTCCTGTGTAAGAGCGATAAAACAGCACTAAGACACATGTGGGCCCCCAGGTTGTTTTATGCTAGAGAAGTTCTGACTTGGCAGTCAAGTGTTAAGCTCAACTGCTCAAGGGGAGAGTCACCTTCATGGAGGCAGGCAGTTCTCATAACTGGACAGCAGGGATGTGGGCTCTGATCTGAGGAGACCACCGGCACCTGAATCTAAAGGTTGCTATCTTCCTTGGAGAAGAGGCCTACACTAGCCCAGGCTTTGATTACACCTTTAAACGCTCTTCCTCCAAAGGAAGAGAGCTGGAAATGTAAAGAATGAGTCTGTTTTCCCCATTTTCTACATCTGCTTGTGTTCTTGGGATATCACTCTACTAGGGACATTTTCATAATGTTATCAAGACCCAGACTAATCAAATACAAGACATAAAAGTATGGGTGAAAGCAGACTCAACAGTAGGGAAAGAAGAATTATTAGTACTGTAAAAAGGAGATAAGACAGTTTCAACACCTCAAAATTTTCAGCAATCTAGAAAAGAGATGAAGACCCTCAAGAACAACAATGGCCTTGAGGTCTTTTACTCATGAAGGACACAACCTCATGGGTCTAGGAGGCTTCTGTCCTAATTTACTCCAATGTTTATTTGGTTAGTAGGAAATGTGTATCAAGTAAACTTTTTTGAGACAGCTGTACAGGTACATAAATGAATGTAAAACTTGCATTAAAAACCTTTTATTTTTTTAAAAAAAGGTAATTTTTAAGTTAGTTTCAATTCCACTATGGATATTCGTAATTCTCAAAATTTCCCAACAGTTAAGATATTTTATCCTAACCACCTCATTATTCCAGATCCAAGCAGTACCCCTTTCCCTGCAGAGTTCCTTAGGAGTAAACACAAGAGCCCTCATTTTAAGACAGCTCTCCAAAGACCAAACCAGAAAAGATGCTGAAGGAAAGGTTAAATTCAACAAAATGGTAAAAGGGGGTAAACACACTTTCAGAACCACTTTTTGATTAAACTGAGTTTTTTCCCCTTTCAGAAAGTACCTATAAAAAAATAAAAGACCACATTTTAGGGAAAGGAGGAATATGAAATTATGGTGAAAGGCCAGGCTGTGAAAAAGGTACTTGGTTTACAATACCTGCAGTGTTCTCCAATGGGGCCAAATCCAGAGAGGCATGTAACACTCACCTCATCAACTGGTAATGAACAGCAGCTGAAAAGGGTGGGGTTGGGTGCTGGGCTGGGAACTATTCTCATTCCTAAGCGGGCCCCTCTACCCTTCTGGCACTCATGGAGAACACTGCTGTTACCAACAGACCAAAACAAGGAACTACAAATGCAGGACTCACAGAGCAAAAACTCATGGATTATATCAAAGTCATCTGACCATAGCTCCTCTCAAAGAGAAAACTCTTAAGTCCCAAACTTTCAACAAATAAAATCTTCAGTAACAATCTGAAAATGCATTTGAGTGCAGAACGTGTATTTACCTATATAAGCTCTTTCTTGTTCCCGAGTAAGTCCAGGGGGGATGACTGTAGGCATTCCTGGAATCACCGTCTTCTGTTCCATTGTGTCTTGGTTCCAGCGGCTCCTCTTCCGCTTCTTACTGGGGAAGTCTGAGAGAGAGAAAGTTCGTCAGATGTAAACATAAACCATCAGAGTAACTACCAACAGTCAGTTTAGGATACTTATGATACTACACACAACCTCAGCAGACTATGAAACTGAGAACTCGACCTAAAAAGAAACAGCAGAGAATGGAAGACAAACCCAGGAAGTCAAAAGACATAGCCACTAGAAGGGGACCTGGGTCTGAAAAGTTAACATTGCACATTTATAATTTTTGTCCAGAGAAATGCTATGAAATGTGTAAACAAGAAATCTCAGTGCACAAAGTTTCAAGTAGTAAAATTAGAGTGTTGAGATAGTAATATACCACATGGTTGTCCATAAACCTCTTAACAGCCCCAAGACATAAGAGCAGACTGAATATTCAAGGGTATAAAGCAATATTGTTAACTGCTGACTCTTCCCACCCCCCCACCAGTCACCTGAGAGAGACAGAACACAACTAATCTATGGTTATCAACTGAAAAAACTGGATTCTTCAGGAAAATCACTTTTCTCCTCAGAAGTTTAGCTAAGGTCAGCATTTTCCTGGCCAGTTGGACACTTAAGTGTCTAAAAAACGTATCGTTAAGTTCAACAAAGAACAAGCTATACAACAGGAGCCAATCTTTCTTCCCCAGTACACAAGCAGAAACTCCCTGGCGTTTGATACACAAAGGTGCCTCCTCAGGGGCCAGACCCAGCAGAAAAGCCTCAAAAGAAGAAGGCGTGTCATACTTCTTAAGTAAATAAAGTGAGACGACGAAACGAACAGAACATCCTTGCCAAAAAGGGTCACAAAAAATCGGACCTAAACACCCCCTGAAGACTTTCATCCATTTTGGTTCTGAAGCGAAAGCCCTGTTTTATTAAAGAAATTTTAAGGAGCTTGTCTTGGTATTTTCTTCCTTTAGGACTTACTACAACCAGGAAGAGGACGCTCCACATCAGTTGACCCTTTCCCGCCCTCCAGACTTGCACATGAGACACCCCAACCACCCACTCGATCTCTTTTCCACAACCCTCCCGAACACCAGAGGCGGAGAGCAACAAGGGGTCCCCCCAATCGCGGCTTTTAGATTGGCCAAACCCCAGCCGCCAAATTGCGCCTGCGCTCAACAAACTTCCTCCCGCCGGGCCCCCACTCCTGAGGCGCGTGCGCACTCGAGGCCCGAGAACCAGGCCGCGCGCCCCGTGGCTCCGCCGCCCGGGCCTTCCCGTGCGCGCGCGCGCGCGCCCCTGCCGCGTGCAGCCGCCGTCTCCGCCGCCGCCGCGCGCCCCTCAGCCGGCCGGGCCCATCCGCGCAGCGCCTCGCGCGCTCTCTCGGCCCGACTCACCTCCTCCGCCGCCGGCCGGGCCCGGCTGCTGGTCCTGACGCGGCGGCTGGGGTGGCGGTGGCTGTGGTGGCGACACGCGCTGGTAGAGCGGCGGCGGAGGGGGCGGCTGCGGCGGCGAGTACGAGGAGCCCGAGGAGGGGGGCGGTGGCGGCGGCGGCTGCTGGGGAGGCGGGGGGGGCGGCGGCGGCGGCGGCGGCGGCGGCGGCAGCGCCGCAAAGGGGAAGGCCGCGGTCAGGGCCCCCACCGAGCCCACGGGCGGGGGCGGCAGCGGCCCGGACACCAGCAGCCCCGCCCCAGGCCCGGGGGCAGTCGGTAGTCCCGGCTCGAAGCCCCCTTTGGGGCCAGGGAGAGGAGGGAGGCCTGGGGGGCCCAGCTTACCCAGCGGCGTAGCGTTCGCTCCTGTCGCCATGGCGCCCCCAGGGACCGGCACCAGCGGCTCCTTTTCGGCGGCGGCTTCTTCCCGAATCTTCTGGGGGGAGGGGACCCGACTGCGCTGCCGCGGAGCGCGCGGAACCCGTCCTCTCACGCGGCGGGCGGCGGCGGCGCGAGACGCACAAAGAGGGAGGAGAGAGGGCTCCGCGGGGGCGGACCGGGGGCGACGGGGCCGGGGCCTGGATTGGGCCGAGCTGAGGCAAAGGGTCGGAATCGGCGGCCTCCGATTGGTGGAGCCTTAGCCTTTCTCGATGCGCGCTGGGATTGGCCGGACCGTTAGGCCAGGCGAGGAAATGGCGGCCGAGCCTGAAGAGCTGGGAGGTGTCGCAGCGCGCACTTCATTTGTTACTGCGCGAACTGAGCTCGGAGTCCAGAAAAGAGGGATAGGGTGGGGTAAACTCTGTGACGTATGGGGCCAAGCGCTCTCCCATTGGTTGGGCTGGTGGAGTCAATCAATCTCCGTTGCGTCGTAGTGTCCTGGGATTGGCTGTCGCTGGTTCGATTTTTTTTTTCCTCGCTCCCTTTCCCCGGGGAGTAATTTCGCTGGGTTTAAGCTAGAGGTTGCGGCGGAAAAGCCGTGGCGGAACAAGAATTGGGGTCGGGGAGGAGCGGCACAGGAGCGCGCATGCATAGATGGGGCAAAGCCGTGTCACTGTCCCTGGTTTCACCGTTGACCCTCGGGTCCGGCGCGGAAGCCCTTGGTGACGTCAACCCTCGATTCCCATGGTAACCCGGAACCGAGGGACGGGGGAGGGGCTGGCGCGGACCGGTAAACCGGATCCGTCGACAACACAGGTAAAAGGGGACTTCCTGTTTTTGAAAAAAATAAAAAGTGGGAGGAAAAAGGAGCTATAAAATAGAGTCTTATTGAAGAATTAGAAACGGTATCCGAGCCAATGGAGGTACACATATCTTTGGTGGAAAGCAGTATGAAGTTATCAATTCAAAAATTAGTTTGCATATACCGTGCGTTTTGATTATAATCCCAGCGAAGTTGAGATTGATTAGATCATCTTTTAAGTCAAATAAAGTAACTGAAAATAGTGGGGAAATTTGTAAACGAGGTTGACGAGCTTGCCTTTCCAAATAGAATACAAAAGACACACTAATGAAACAATGTGGTATTGTTGTAGGAAAGACAGATTAGTTCAATAGGAAAGAGTCTAACCAAAAAGGTGGTGTTTCAATTCAGTAAGGAAAAGATTTAGCTAGTAAATGGTATATAGAGTCCTAAATTTAAAGAATAAAACAGACACAGTACAATTTAGGATATTATCGGAGTCATCTAGGGTTAGAGACTTTATGAAGACAGAAAACAAAGTTAATTACCAGAGGAACCTATGATAAAAATCAACAGACAATAATACATTAGGAAAGTATACTTGCCATACATATGATAAAGAGCTAATATCTGTAATATGCAAAGAAGTCTTAAAAATAATTTAAAAGCGAAAAACAACAGAAGATGAGCAAAGACTGAATAAACAAGTCTCAGAAGATCTAATCCAAATAGCCACGAAAACATGAAAAGTACCAACCTCCTAAGCATGAAATGCAAATTAAAGGTGATATGAGACATCGTCAACAATCGGGAAAAAAAAAAAGCTAAGTTACTACTTTGAATTCTTTTTTGAAAAGCATTCTATTATCTATTAAAATTGTACCTCTCAAGACTTCCTTGGTGGTCCAGTGGGTAAGACTTTGTACTCCCAATGCATGGGGGCACTGGTTGGGGCACTGAAATCCTGCATGGTGTGGCTTAAAAAAAATTTTGTACCCCTTTCAGAGAAAAATAAAAAACATGTTCAATGTGGTAATCCCACTCCTGGGAATCTGCCCCTACATAAGGCATGTGATTACATAATATAACATGTTCAAAGTCTTCTATTGCGTTTACTGCAGTCTTGTTTGTAACTGCAGAAACCTGGAAACAAAACTACCATCAATATGTGATTTGTTAAATGAAGTAGATTATCCATAACCTGGATTAGTAGGCAGCCTTGAAAAGGAGATAATCCATACCTACTGATCTGGAGGGACTTCTGTGCTATATTGTTATTGAATAAGAAAAGAAGCAGAGAAATAGCTATTACATAATCTTATTTTTGTAAAACAAAGTCCATACATGTGTAGGCGTATGATTATGAGTATGGAGAAAGCCACAGAGGATACACAAGTCATCAGTTAAGACACTGAAGAGGGAAATAGGTACTTGGAAGTTATCCAATACATTGTAAGAACCCAACATATTTTTTAAATATTTTTCATGTTTTTAAAAAATATATGATGTAATCCCATTTCAGTTCAGTTCAGTCGCTCAGTCGTGTCTGTGACCCCAAACAGTACGCCAGGATTCCCTGGCCATCCCCAACTCCCAGAGCTTGCTCAAGCTCATGTCCAAGCTGGTGATGCCATCCAAGTATCTCATCCTCTGTTGTCCCCTTCTCCTCCTGCCTTCAATCATTCACTGCATCAAGGTCTTTTCTAATGATCAGTTTTTCACATCAGGTGACCAAAGTATTGGAGCTTCAGCATCAGTCCTTCCAATGAATATTCAGGGCTGATTTCCATTAGGATTGACGAGTTTGATCTCCTTGCGGTCCAAGGGAGTCTCAAGAGTCTTCTCTAACACCACAGTTCAAAAGCATTTACAAACATACAACTGTATGCTGCTGCTAAGTCACTTCAGTCGTGTCCGACTCTGTGCGACCCCATCGACGGCAGCCCACCAGGCTTCCCTGTCCCTGGGATTCTCCAGGCAAGAACACTGGAGTGGGTTGCCATTTCCTTCTCCAATGCATGAAAGGAAAAGTGAAAGTGAAGTCGCTCAGTTGTGTCCGACTCTCAGCGACCCCATGGACTGCAGCCTACCAAGCTCCTCCGTCCATGGGATTTTCCAGGCGAGAGTACTGGAGTGGGTTGCCATTGCCTGCTGCTATACAACTGTATAGATATAAAGAAATGCATTGAGGTAGTTCCCTATGGCCCAGTGGTTAGGACTTGCCACTTTCACTGCCAGGGGCCCAAGTTTGATCACTAGTCAGGGAACAAATCTCACAAGCCATGCTGCGAAACAAAAAAAAGGCACTGACAGAACAATCACCAAATTTCCACTGTTAGTGGGATCTTAGGTAATTTTTACTTTTTCTCCTATTTCTATGTATTACTTTCAACTTTTTATACTGAGCAAGTGTAACTAATAAAAATGAAGTTAATATTGTGGACATAAAAGGAAAAACAGAAATGTTTAAGTCATCTGAAAAATAAGGAAACAGTATCTGTAAATACAACAAATTCTAGGGAGGAGGGGAGAAAAGAATCTTTCGAAGTTTGAGCAACTACTAGATATAAAACAGCTTGACAGGTATGACCCTGAATAAAATTCAGCCCCTGCTTCCAGAAAATCATGGTCTAGCGAAGGAGAGAGACTAACACACAAATAAAAATGTACTATTACTGTTGGCAATGACACTGCCGTCCTAATAATGGTAAAGGCTGCCGCTGTGACTCTCATGGGGCAGTCATTGTCACTGCCTTCTAGTCGTTTCCTCTAGGATTTTTGTGTTTTTTAAACAATTACCAAGTTAAAATGTTTTGGTTGTCCTTTTACGAGTTTATATATTTTTTAGATTCTTCAGAATAGGGTCTTAAAATCTCTAAAATTAAAAAACACGGTTTCATTTGTGGTCAAGTATATGATCAGTTTTTGTAAGTGTTCTAAGGACAGATGAATAGTTAAAAGAGTTTGGACGTTGGCTACTTCCTGATCTGTTCTGACTTCTTTCCCTTGTAGTAGCTAATTTCATCTTCACAACCACCTTCAGAGATGGGTATTATCTGTTACGTATAGATGAGAAAACCCAGGCACATTGAGGTTAAATAACTACCCCAAGGTCACACAACTTAACCAGTGTAGTCTGTCGGTCCAAGACTCCTATTTGGCAGAACGGGATTGGAATGTTGGCCATGCCGCTTTCTGGCTGAGGACCATGGAACAGACTCCCCAGTTTTAAGGCAAGTTGGAGTCCTACAGACCCAGGCCAGCCACCCATCAGCTGGCAACTAGGGAAGTCATTTATTGTCTGTGCATCTCAGCTTCTTTGTCTGTAGCATATGGACATTAATGCTACTGTACAGGGCACTGCACTGATAGAATGAGATCGGAGGCGTGGTGGTTGGTTTTAATGGACTGTCTCCTGAGCTGTGGGGTCAAGAATTATACACAGATGCCTCCTGATTTTAAACCAGGGTGCAGTATAATGAAAACAGCAACACATCTATCTGGTCTTTGTCCCCAGATCCTGGTAAAGAGCTCCAGAAACCCTTGGGATTTCCTGAGTGCTGGGAGTGTCTTTCATTATTCATAATGAGGCCCTTTGGACCCATAGCCGGATTTATGCTAACAGGGAGACTCACTGCCAGCTCTGAGGTCCCTGAGTGAGCTTCAGGATGGTCACTGGTCACCAGAAAAACCAACCAATTTTCAGCCCTACACTCCACCTCTGGGCGGGGGAGAGAGGCTGGAGATTGCACTCAATCACATGACCAGTGATTTATTCAATCACACCTATGTAATAAAGCCTCAATAAATACTCTAAACAACGAAGTTTAGAGAACTTCCAGGTTGGTGAACAAACGAATGTAACAGGAGGGTGATGCACTCTGATTGCATGCATCAGGGTGAGGCTCCTGACCTCAGGACTCGTCCAGACCTTGCTGCCCAATGCATCTCTTTTTCTAGCTCTTCATTTAAATGTAGCCTTTAAAATAATGCAGCAGTCATATATACTGCACTTTCCCGAGTTCTTTGTGTCATTCTAGCAACTTATTGAACCTGAAGTGGGCTGTGGGAACTACCAAATTTGTAGCAAAGTTGGTCAGAGGTGTGGGTAGCCTGGAGGCCCAGGTCTTGTGGTTGAACCCCTTAACGTGTGGGATCTTCACCAACTCGGGGTAGTTCATGTCTGAACTGAACTGTGGGACATCCAGTTGTGTCAGAGAATCAGTGTCAGAAAGTAAAGAATAAGTTTTAGGACTTCTCTGGTGGCCCAGTGGTTAAGACTCTGCATTTCCACTGCAGGGGGCATGCATTTGATTCCTAGTCAGGGGTCTAAGTGGAGAAGGCAATGGCATCCCACTCCAGTACTCTTGCCTAGAAAATCCCATATATGGAGGAGCCTGGTAGGCTGCAGTTCATGGGGTCGCTAAGTCAGACATGACTGAGCGACTTCACTTTCACTTTTCATTTTCACACACTGGAGAAGGAAATGGCAACCCACTCCAGTGTTCTTGCCTGGAGAATCTCAGGGATGGGGGAGCCTGGTGGGCTGCTGTCTATGGGGTTGCACAGAGTCGGACATGACTGACGCGACTTAGCAGCAGCAGCAGGGGTCTAAGATCCTGCATATGATGCAGTGCGGCCAAAAAGAAGTTTTGACACCCTTCGAATCCCTGGCATCATTTCATTCTAATTTGATAGTTCAGAAACTCCAAGCCCCTGGCAAGATTGAGAGGCAGTATCGTGGAGCTAGTTGAGCCTGGAGGGAGAAAATCCATGGGATGTTTCTGACCCCTCTCTTCCCCCACCATGTCCAGCCTTTGCAGAGCCTCACACATGATTTCATTGCCCAAATTAGGAATGTCTACCAGCAAGTGAGCACACATGATGCACCAAGTACTTTTCATAATTTTTTCCTGGAAAACCATGTATATTTACACCTTCCTATTAAAGGTATTAATTTGAACAAGGGGTTGATAGGTATTGGAATTTGTGAGTTGGGTACAAATTAGAAATCATAGCAAGATAGCTATGTACAAATCACATATCTGGTAAAGGACTTTTATCCATACTCTCAAAACTCAGCAGTAAGAAAACAGACAACTCATGTGGTGTTAACTAAACTTACTGTTGTAATCATTTCACAATATATGTGTATCAAATCATCACATGGTACACTTGAACCTTTCAATATGTTTTATGTCATTTGTATCTCAAAGCTGGAATTTTAATTCTATTTTTAAAAATATTTATTTGTGGCTGTGCTGGGTCTTCGTTGCTGTGAGCCAGCTTTCGCTAGTTGCGGTGAGCAGGGACGACTATTCGTTGCAGTGCTTGGACTTCTCATTGCAGTTTCTTCTCTTGTGGGAATGAGCTTCAGTGGTCGTGGCACACGGCTCATTAGTTGTCGTGTAAGGGCCTAGTTGCTCCGCACCATGTGGAATCTTCCTGGACCAGGGATGGAACCCACGTTCCCTTCATTGGTAGGTGGATTCTTATCCACTGAGCCACCAGGTAAGTCTGACAACCCTATTTCTAAAAGCAAAAGATTTGAATAGACACTTTCCCAAGGAATATGTATACCGGCGGGCTTCCTGGGTGGCGTGAGTAGTAAAGAATCCTCCTGCCAATGTAGGAGACACGTGTTCCATCCCTGGGTTGGGACGATCCCCTGGAGAAGGAGATGACAACCAGCTCCAGGCTTCTTGCCTGGAGAATCCCATGGACAGAGGAGCCTGGCGGGCTACAGTCCATGGGGCCGCAAAGAGTGGGACACAGCTGAGTGACTGAACACACACATGTATACTGGCAGACCTCGCTTTATTGCACTTCATTTTATTGTACTTTGCAGATTGTGTTTACAAATTGAAGGTTTGTAGCAACCCTGTGTAAGGCAAGTCCATCGGTGCCATTTTTCCAGAAGCGTTTGCCTCCTTTGTATCTCTCCATTACAGGTTGAGGGCTTCTCCGGTGGCTCAGCTGGTAAAGAATCCACCTGTGATGCGGGAGGCCTGGGTTCACTCCCGGGGTGGGGAAGATCCTCTGGAGAAGGGAACATCACATGTTGGTAGTTCTCACAATATTTCAAACCTTCAGCCAGCAAAAAGATATCATTTGCTGAAGGTTCAGATGATGGTTAGCATTTTTTTAGCAATAAAATATTTTTAAATTAAGGTATGTACATTAAAGACATAATGCTGTTGCACACTTAATAGACTTGGTATAGTATAAATATAATTGTCATATGTTCTTTATAACCAAAAAATTCACAGGACTCCCTTTATTGCAGTGACCTGGAACTGAACCCATACTAACTCTGAGGTGTGTCTGTATATGATAAATAAGCATAGGAAAAGATGCTCAACATCATTAGTCAAAACAAGTTAAAACCACTATGAGATACTACCACACACCTATTTGAGTGGCTAAAATTAAACAAGACAGACAATACCAAGTGTTAACGAAGACTTGGAGGAACTAGAACTCTCCTGCACAGCTGGTTGGAATGCAGATGGTCCCAACAACTTTGCAAAACAGCTTGGCATTTTCTTAAAAAGTGAAACAAGATTTTTTTAAAAAAATCAGAATTGAACAAAAAAATTTTTTAAAGTGAAACAACACATACCCCATGACCCAGCCCTTCCACTCAAAAGCATTTACCCAAGAGAAATGGAAGTTTATATCCACACAAAGACTTGTATGTGAATGTTCATAGCAACTTTATTTGCAATAAATAGTCCAAAGCTGGAAATAGCCCAAATGTATATCAACAGGCAATTAGCTAAACAAACTGTGGAACATCCATCCAATGGAATACTACTTGGCAATAAAAAGAATGACCATTAATATATGAAACAACATGGATAAATCTGAAACTAATTATGCTTAGTGAAAGAAGCCAAATAAAAAGAGTACATACCATATGTTTGTATTTACATAAATTCTGAAATATGCAAATTCATGCCTAGTGACAAAGCAGATCAGTGGTTACTTGGGGCTGGGGAGGCAAGGAGGAACAGGAGGGCCTGATTACCAAGAGGAAGCTTTTGGGGCGATGGAAGCATTTATCTTGATTGCAATAATGGCTTCACAGGTATATGTGTGTGAGAGTCATCAAACAGTACATTTTTAATATATGCAGTTCATTGTATGCCGATTATACCTCAATAAAGCTGTTTTAAAAGAAGCAACAGAAGAAAGCAGCTACAGAGAGAGGGACCTGCCCATAGTTTGTCACAGAACATTGGTTTCATTATCTCCACTTGATTTCATCGTCTAGGAAATGTTGGCTTCTTGGTTTTGTTTTCTAAGCCATTGCTGAGTTTTTTGAGTGCTTGCCTTAAAATATTTGAACTTATGTTTTCTTACATAGCTTTTTTTTTCTTCTGGATTTATGACATGGCATGTGCTGTGCTTGGTCACTGCTGTGCTTGGTCACTCAGTCGTGTCTGACTCTTTGCAACCCCATACACTGCAGCCCACCAGGCTCCTCTGTCCATGGGGATTTTCCAGGCAAGAATACTGGAGTGGGTTGCCATGCCCTCCTCCAGGAGATCTTCCCAACCCAGGGATCGAACCCAGGTCTCCTGCATTGCAGGCGGATTCTTTACCATCTGAGCCACCAGGGAAGCCCAAGAATAGTGGAGTGGGGAGCCCATCCCTTCTCCAGGGGATCTTTCTGACCTAGGAATTGAACTGGAGTGTCCTGCATTGCAGGCGGATTCTTTACCAGCTGAGCTACCAGGGAAGCCTGTGACGTGGCATGGGGGATCTTAGTTCCCTGACCAGGGATGGAACTTGCCCCCTGCAGTGGAAGCATGGATCCACTGGACCACAGGGAAGTCCCTTACATAGTATTTGATATATACAAAAAGTATGCGGAACCTCACCTGTGTTAGGAACTGAGCTATACATTGAATGTCCATGAACCCCGCCCCCACCCCCACCCCCCAGCTAGCCTGAGAACCAAGATATTACCTTCGCAAATTCCTGAGGTCCTTCCTTACCCCAGTCCCACTCCCCGCACAGGGACCGTCGTTTGAATTTTGTGCTTTTCTTCCCCTTATCTCCTAAGCGTATGATCATGTGTGTGTGCTCAGTGGCTTCAGTCCTGTCCAACTCTTTTGTGACCCCATGGACTGTAGCCCACCAGGCTCCTCTATCCATGGGGTTCTCCAGGCAATAATACTGGAGTGGGTCGCTATGCCCTCTTCCAGGGAATCTTCCCAACCAAGGGATCAAACTCACATCTCCTGCATTGAAGGTGGATTCTTTAATAGATGGTTTAGTTTTGCTTATTTTTGCCAGCATGCTGTGTGTCATTTTATGCAATTTGCTGTTTTCACTTGACATTACATCTCTATGATTCATCTGTCTTGTTGGATTATGTGTATTAACAATACTTCCAATTCTCCCTACACCCTGCAGGTCAATATAGGATATGGTCTGCCTGGGGAAAATATAGCCCAGCAAGCTCACCCAGTCCAGGGACCCAACTGCAGGGCCTCCTTGTCAGAATATCACATTCATTCCTTCACTCAAAAAGCCTTCTGAGTACCAAGCAGTGACTGGACATGCCACCGTGAGCACAGCAGATGCCCTGCTGTCCTGAAGCACACATCTGGTTGTTACCTCTCACCCTGACCCTCACTTGACTCGGGGTATGGGCCAGCTACCCAAACACCCTGGGGTGACTTGCCTCTTCCACTTACCCACAGGATGGCTTAGAGAGGCTGATCTGACCCATCCCAGTGGCTTCTGCCCAGGGAGGGCAATGTGACAGTAGCTGTCACAAGGACAAAGCCACTTCCAGGAATTTATCCTATGGGGCACTTGAGTATGTACAGAGTGGCACTGGCTTAGGAGTACTTATTGCTGCATCATTTGTAATATCACACTAATAGAAACAACTGAAATTTCCATCAATAGGATCTAACTATGGTTAATTCACATTAGTTATGGGAAACCCATACAGTGGAACATCATGAGCTATAAAAGAACAAAGGTGGAGGCACTGATCATGGAAAGTTCTCCAGGACAGATTTTTTTTTTTTTTTTGGCCATACTGCACAGCTTATGGGATCTTAGTTCCCCAACCCGGGATCAAACCTGGGCTCCGAGCAGTGAAAGCACAGAATTTTAACCACTGGACTGCCAGGGAATTCTCTCCAACTCTCCAGGACAGATTTTAAAGGGCAAGATATAGTCCACTGTGTGGACTATATCACCATGTAAGAAAGGGGAAAGACTAATGCATGCTGAACTGCTTAAACATGCATGAGTACTTCCAGAGAGTTCATAAGTAACTGGGACCTGGATAGACTTGTCATTGTTATCTAGTTTGTATTTTTTTTTTTTTTATTGTGGGACTTCCCTGGTGGTCCAGTGGTTAAGACTCAGCGGTCCCTGGTCTGGGGCAGGGGCAGTGGGGGGTGAGTTCCACAGGCAACCTGGTATGCTCCCCCGCAAAAAAAAAATCTATGTGCCATGGCCAAGGGTTATCTATTAAAAAAACACAGATAAAATAACAATTTTGGTCTTTCAGTGCATATTCCCTGGCTTCTTGACCTTTCTTTGGCTGGCAGCCAGCCTTTGCTGGCAGCAAATATTTTATCAAATGTCCCTGCTTTTCCCAGGCCCCCTGCTTTTGGCACTTTACAGTCTGACCACCCCCCAACTGCTTTAGTGTGTTGGGGGACCGGCCTGCCACAAGGTGGCACTGTCTGCTGCCTGCTGCTCTGGGCTGAACGTCCTCCCAGGGTACCTGAGCGTCAAAGGTTGGGGTCTATGTCCGATGAGCAGAAGCTCACCTCCCCAACCCTGGCACTCCTCAATCCTGCACCTCTGCCAAGAAATCTGGAAAAACGTAAGTTAGGAATCATATTCCTGTCACCCCCTCCACCTGGCCCACTGAATGCCCCCCGAGTGGGTGCAGACAAACCTTCAGAACCCGGAAGGTGCCTCTTGCCTTCCTTTGGGTCTCAGGGAGAACACAGGAGCTCTGTCTCCGCTCCTGATCTGAGCCCCCATTTCAGTTGAGAAACCCTCCCTTTTCCCTAAGACAGCAGTCAAACCTCTGCAGGAGGGTGGACAAGGGGACAGTGTGATGAACACGAGATGGCTCGGGGTCCCCTGCCAGGAGCACTAGGGACGGGGCTGCCATCTACCCACCCACTCAGCACTTCATTCATTTATCAAATATTTACCAAGGGCCCACAGTTGCAGAGTTCTCATCCAGCACTTGAATATCAGAAGGAAGGTGACTGGGCCAAACTGACCTTGGACCTTTGCTCAGGCTCCTCCTCCAGCCCTAGGCCTCCCCGCCCTCTGTAACCTTGGTCCTGCCTTACCTACCCAAAGACTGCTCAAGGGCAGCCTGCTTAGTGTCTGGGACCCCTCGGGGCTCCCTGGCCTGGGGATACAGCACTGTCTAAGAGGGACACATGGGAGAATGACCATGGAAAGCCCAAAGTCGGCAACAGGTGGATGGATGTGCCCTCGAGATGCAGGCTCCAGCAAGGAGGACAGCTGCCCTCACTGGGGGCTGGCACACATCTGGGTAGGGAATCCCTCTGGGAGCCCAGGAACTCTTGTTAAATGGACACAGGCTAATTGTCCCAGAGCCTAGCTTGATGAGCACGCCCGTATTGAGTAATCCCAGCCTGACAGAGCAGACAGCAGGTGGGAGGCAGCCACAGGCCTGGGCACGGGATGCAGGTCATGACAAGCTGTCTCCACAGGCTGCAGCCTCCCTGCGGCTGGGTAGAGCAGCCCTTGGCTGGCCCCTTCTGGGCCCTTCCACAGGCTACCTGGCGGGCCCCCACCTGGGACAGGGGTCCTCTAGATGAATCCGTTGTTCGGGGCCTCCCCCCGCCCCATCAGCATAACTCCTTAGCCACAAAGGACACCTTACACTGCAAGGCAGGGAAGGGGCTCATCCTGAGCAGGGAAGCCCAGGAAGACACAGCGACCCTGAGCTCTCACGAGGGGCTGAAACCTCCCCTTCACCTCTGCCTGGCTCCCCATGAGAGTCACCAGAACACTGGTGGCCCCCCTTCCATGTTTCATCCACAGCCCCTGGTGCCAAGAAAGATGCGCTAGAGGGAGATGTGGTGGGAAATGAGGCAGTGGGCTCAGCGTCCCCTGACCCAAAGGGACCAGTGGAATAAAATCAAACCAGATTTAATGCCAATATAGTCTCTCTTTTAAATACCACGTTCCCCAGGATGGAGTGCAGGGGCAGGCTCTTGGCAGGATAAGTGGAAAGGAAAAGTGGAACAAAATGGAATGGATAGCCCCGGGCTGCCCCCAAACTGCTCAGGGCCCTGCCACAGCGCTCTGGGAACCAGCTGCCCGCTTGGGAGGGGGATATGACAGCAGCTTCTTCTGGTCCAGTTATTGCGGAGGTGTGGGCTGCGGGCCCCTCCCTTCCCCAGCCCCCAGACTCTTCTCAGGATTTCTGCCCTTTCAGACCAGCAGAACCAGGGCCTGAGCTCCTCTGATCTCGGAGGGGCCCCCCTGCCTGAAAGAATTGCTGTGTGGGGCAGGCGGGGGCGCTCCTGGCCAAGCCAGCTAGGTGACTTGCTCAGTAACTGCTCTGGTGGCCTGTGAGAATGTAGAGGTTGCTGTGAGCCCCGGGCTTGTCGGTGGGAATGCTCTCAAGGATGATGTCTCTGGAGGGGAGGGAGAATGGAGGTGAGCAAGGTGGGAAGGCACATGGCACCACCATCTGTGTGTGTGTTGGGGGGTGACTGATGGGGAGGCCGGGCACCATGTCCTACCTGTGGGCACCGAGCACTCGGAAGATTCTCGTCTCATCTGTGATCTCCTGGGTCACCTGGGAAGAAATGGGGCGCTGAAGCCACCCCAGCGCATCCTCTCCTAGAAGGTGGGAAGGCCTAGGTTCCTGAGTCCCCCTCACCTCATTGGTGTCCAGGCTGCGGCCCTGCATCCCATGGCTCCAGAAGGCCAGCACGCTGTCCTGCAGGCACACTGGGAAGGGCCGGGCCACCATCAGCCCCGTGCCTGCCCAGGGGCCACTGGTTCCCCCAGCTACGCCCTGGGCCCAAGAATGGGTCGCAGACCAGACTGCAGGTGGCCAGGTGGCTCTCAAGAGGGGCTGGGGGACCTGCCTCCTTGTTCTGCTGCCAGCCCCGAGCCCCAGGGCCACATCATGTGCTCCAGGCTGGCATCTTCTGCACCCATCCCCACCCCTCACCATCCAGTTCACTCACCCACAGTCTCAATGGGGAAGTCAAAGGTCAGCACGGGCGCCAGCGTGGCTGTGGGCTCACCCAGCAGGTTGACGATCCTCACGCAGCCTGCACAGTGGCGAGGTGAGGGGTGCTGATGGGTGGGGGGGCTCCCTCACCACCCCCTCCAACACCCTGGCCCTGATCCCAGGAACACTCACGGTCAAAGCAGACCAGGACTGTGTCCCTGTCCACCTGGATCACCTGCTGGGCAGAGCCTGGGAACCCCTCTGCAGTTAGAGAAGGGAGACACGGCCTGGCTGAGCCGCCAGCCCCGCTCTGGCCCCAAGAGGATGACATGGGGTGGGGGGCGGGTAGTTAGGCATCCTTCACCACAAGAGCATCCCAGGGGCATCATGGCACTGGATCTCACTGCACAGCTGGGGAACTGAGGCTTGGCGCCAAAGTGACCCATCCGTAGGCTCACAGGGAGCCGGGCTGAACCCCAGGGAGCCACGGGAGAGCAGGGACCCTGGAGTCAGGGGAGCCAGGCTTCAAGACTCAGTCACTATGTGACCTCAGATCTCTGAGCTTCAGGTTCCTTAACTGTAACCCAGGCATGACACTGCCTACCTCGCAGGGCCATGTGAGAATCAAGAGTGAAATCTCATGAGACCCCTGGCTGGGAGTTTGGGCACCATATGGTCCAGGGTGCCTTCCCCTTCCTTCACCCACCGCCATTCCCCTCACTCCCTGAGCTGCCTCAGCACCCAGGATCCTGCTTCCTTGCTCAGAATGAAGGCCTCTGGCTCCTGCCTTCCCCAGCTTGGCTGTCCCTGCAGCCCCCACGGGGTCATCAGGTCGTCTTAGCTGCTGAGCCCTTTGGTCTAGTGACATCTTCTATGGGGAGACCCGGCTGAAGGGAAGCTGGGAGCTTCGGGGTCCCCAAGGTCTCCGTGGAGCTGTAAACCATGGGGCACTCTCTCTCTATGTATACAAATCATGTGCGCACACACACACTCATTCACACAGAGCCTGGCCCTCCAGCTCACCGGGTGGGATGAGGATGTCCGGCGTCAGGCCAGCCTCCAGCGGTAGGACGTGGAACAGGACGCGGCAGCCGGGCCCCTCAGGGCCCTCGGCCCCCACACACACCTGCGGTAGCTCATTCCCGTCCAGTACCAGCGGCTCCAGCATCCCTGCTGGGCTGGGCAAGGGGCTGGAGAAGTTCTGGGGGCAGAAGCAGCGCTCAGGTCTTCATTTCCTCCCCCAGACCCCCTGCCGCCCGCCCGAGGGGGTCCCCCCACCAGCCCTGCACCTTCAGCAGCAGGAACTTCTGCAACGGTTCGTACCACTGGAGCAGGAGCAGGCTGGCGGGGAGCGCGGCCAGCAGGAAGGTGCTGCCCGTGTGGGGGTTCCGCACTGCGGGAGAGGAGGCGGTGGGCCCAGGGGCTGTTCCCGCCAGAGCCCAGCTAGCCCCGCCCCGCCCCGCCCCCACCTCGTCCCGCCCCCCGCCCCCAGCTCTTACCCACACGACACTGCAGGCAGCCTTTGGTGTCAGGAATCTTGTTGGACAGGGCAAATCGCCTGGGGGGACAGCAACCAGGGCAGGTGTCCCCGGCGCCATCCTGGGCAAGGCCCGCCCCCCCGCAGAGCCCTAAGGATGGGTTCTAACACCTTCCCTGCCTCACAGGTGGCAGACTGAGGCTCTGATGGCCAAGCCACTTGCTGGAGTAACTGAGAAGTGGATGTGACGCTGGGCCTGTGGCTCCAGCATCCAACTTGACAGCCTGGAGCCCGTACATCCAGACCAGGGGTTTGGCTCACAGAGTTACCTCTAACTGTGACTGTGTGGGCAAGGCACTTCACTTCTCTATGCCTCAGCTGATTCCTCTGCAGAAAGGGGCCGGGGGTGGGAGTGGGGTGGGGGTGTGTGTGACCATGGAACCCACCTTGCAGGATCACAGTGAGGTTTGTATGAGCTAACTCAGCAGAGGGCTTGCAGCAGAGCCCGCCACAGCAGGTGCCCTCACAGAAGGCTAGTTTTTCTCATCCCCTATTAATACTTTCCCACCTATTTTCAGTCATTGAAAATCCCTTTTAAGGAAAGGAAGGATGCAAATGTTGTTGTTTAGTTGCTAAGTCATGTCCAACTCTTTTGCGACCCCATGGACTATAGCTGGTCAGGCTTCTCTGTCCATGGAACTTCCCAGGTAAGAATAATGGAGTGGGTTGCCACTTTCTCCTCCAAGGGATCTTGCCAACCCAGGGATCGAACCCGCATCTCCTGCATTGGCAGGCGGGTTCTTTACCACTAAGCCATTCAGAAAGCCCAAAATGAAGAAATGAGGGTGTGGAAGGGCTGGGAGCTGATTCAGGCGCCAGCTCCTCCTCCAGCCAGAGCACTCAGGGCCAGTTCCCACCCCCCATGCCGCATGTCACAGGTGGGCAAGCTGGCCAGAGGAGATGGAGAGGCACAAGAAAATAGCGATCGCCCTGCCCTCCGGGTTCCGCTGAGGCTATTCCCCAGGGTGGCCAGTGGGTGGCGTCCTTTGGTGCTGAGGGAGAAGCAGGGTCCTTGCTCTGGTTACTTGCTGTCCCCCAAGCCCTCAGGGGACGTTCCGAACCCGTTTCTTGCTCTGAGGAACAGCGCAGCATGCCAGCAGCCCACCCACCTCCCCCTGTGATCCAGGGCCTGTCTGCACCCTCTGCTGGGACGTGGGCCCCGCCGAGGAAGCCAGCCCTTCTCTCTCCCTGCCTTCGCTCCTCTCTCCCCTGTTCCTTCCACTCTCTTCCCAGTTGGCCTTCAGATGGGACAGAGGCAGATTTCTTTTTTTGTTTTTTTTCTCCAACAATTCCAGATCTCCTCTGTGACTTCCCGAGCACACATCCAAAGCTGCCTGTGACTCGGGGCCGTATGGGGCCTGTTTCCCGCAGGTCCTGGGCCAAAGCAGAGGTTGGCCTGGGACTGAGCTCGGGAAGCCCTGAGGCCACTGGGTTCCCAACGCGGTCCTCGAGTAAGCCTGCTGCACCAAGGGCCTGGGACCCTCAGCTCCCCAGTGGGTGTAGCCACAGCCCAGCCTCCCCCACCCTCCCCACTGGCTTCCGCCACCCACCTGGTCATGGCGATGTCTAAGCCCACAGCCCACCTGCCCGCTCAGATCTCAGGGCCAGCCCCCACGCCCCGACAGGAGCTGAGGCCTGTCTAGTACATTTCAAACTCCACGTGACACCACTGAATTCTGCTCCACCCGCAGCTGATGACAGCTCCATCCTTCCGTTGCCACGGCCAAAACCCTGGAGTCATCCTTGACTCCTCTCTTTCTCTCCCATCCACCAGCTGTCAGGAAATCCTGTTGGTCTGGCTTTGAAAATAAAACTGGAATCTAACTGCCTCTGGCCTTCACTGCTACCCTGGTGCAAGGCGCCATCGCGTCCCACCGGCCCCCTGACAGGCCTCTGCTCCGGCTGCATCTCCTCCAGCCTCCTCCCAGCGCAGCAGCCAGACTGACCTGTGAGAACCTCAGCCAGGGCACACTCAGTCAGGGGTAAAGGCCTCTCTGTGGCGACAGGGCCCTCGGAGGCCAGCCCCTTCTCACTCCCTCTACGTGGACCCCCTGATTCCTTGCTGTTCCTCATACAAGCAGGCCTGGCCCCTGGGCTCCAGCCCCCACCCCCCCTAGATATTCTCAGGACTCACCCCGTCACCCCCTCCAAGTCTTTGCTCAAACAGCACCCTCTCAGGGACATCCTTCCTGACCACCCTGATGAATACCGCCTCCTGACCCTCCTCCATGTCACCACTGCACTGACTCCTTCCTCATGTCCATTGTCGTCTGTCCCTCTTGACAGAGTCTGAGAGTACAAGGGTCTCTAGTTCCCAGGAGGTTCTCACGTCCAGGAGACTGCCTGGCACATACCAGGCGCTGGACGACTGAATGAGGGCCTCTACCACCTGTGGACAGAGGAGCCTGGCAGGCTACAGCCCAGAGGGGCGCACAGAGTCCGACATGACTGAAGAGACTTAGCATGCACACACCACCTCATAAACACACCTCAGTCTGCTCACTGGGGGTCTCCCAGTCCTTCCCTTCCCCTCACACACACTCTCATTAGTCCCCAAATCCTGTCAACCCTACTTCCTAAATACTGCTTGGGTCCGTCCAGTTCCCACTGCCCTCCCTCATCTCAGATCAATACACTGGCCTCCTTTCCAGGCCCTCTCATCGGTCTCCCACTCCATTCATCCTTCCCGCTGTCATCACAGCCGTCGGCAGACGCTCCTGTGTCCATCTGCCCAGACAAGCCCCTTTCTCCCTCCCCAGCTCCAGGAGAGGGCACGTGACCAGGCCTGCCTGGCCCCTGGCTCCTCATCTCATGGCCGCAGTGACCAGCCCAGAAGTGGGCACAGCCCTCAGCTAGGCCCATGAGAATTGGCCTGTGGGGGGAATTACTTGGAAACAGAGGTTCCAGTTCCACGGGTTTATTAGTTAGTGGAACACTGGCTGGATTTGCAGGTAGCTGTCACCGGACAGGAAAGCCTACTTGAGGATGTCAGTGACAGGAGGAAAACAGAGCCAGGAGGTGCAGGAGACACCTACGGCAGCCACTGCAGCCTGGGTCCAGCAGGGCCTGCAGCTGACCCTACTCCTGTCAGTGCTGTATGTCAGTCCTTGGTCGCTCAGTCCTGTCTGACTCTTTGTGGCCCCATGGACAGCAGCCGGCCAGTCTCCTATGTCCATGGGATTCTCCAGGCAAGAATACTGGAGTGGGTTGCATTTCCTTCTCCAGAGGATCTTCCCAACTCAGGGATCGAAACTGGGTCTCCTGAATAGCGGATGGTTTCTCCATTGTGTGAGCCAGCAGGGGAGCACCAGACCCCACTCCTACCCGAGGCATTAAATTCCCTTTTGTGCTGAAGCCAGTGAGTGAAATCACCCGCAACAGGAAGAGTCCTGACTAACATACAGAGGGATCCTACTCAGATGCTCCTGGTGCCACTGCCAGTTGGACAAAGCCCAGATCCCAGCCTGGCATCAAGGGCAGGGCTCTGCCACCTGGATGGCTTCCTGTTCGGCTGCTCCCCCTCCCCCACTCAGGCCAAACACCTTCTACCTCCCCAGATCGCCTAGGAGAATTCACAAGTATTCCTCCCTCGCTGGAAGGCTGTTCTCTAACGCATCTGCCTGGAAGACCCCCACATGCTGTCAACTCCCACAAGCTCGCCTGGCCTCCCAGGCCCCTCCCAGCTCTGGCTCACCTCAGTCCCTAGAGCTGAGTGTTAAGGACTTATGGGACTTGTTGTCCCCAAGCCCAGCCTAAGGACTGCCATTTCCCAGTGCTCAGAAGACATTTGCCCCACAGCCTACCCACCTCGACACCAAGGGCTCACCTGGCATATTCACATCCACTGTCTCCTTCCCTCCCAACAGGCCTGGGGGCAGCGGGAGGGGAGGCTACCAGCTGGATGGACCAACAAGGAAACTGGGCCTCAGACAGAGGCCAAGTGACATGACTAAGATCCCAACGGTCTCAGGACCAGGAAAGGCCATTTTCTAGCCCTGGCTCTGTCCCTCTGTCTCCCCGGGTGCTCCCATCCCACAGGGCCGGGTTCCCCCAGGGTCGCTGACCTGGGGATGATACGCTGGGTGAGGCGGTTGGTGGGGATGGAGAGGGGGACCTGCTGCTGTAGCCGCCGCTGCTCAAACAGGCCTGGGAGGTCGTGGGCCCAGATGTGTGTGGATTTCCCTGCAGAGGGAGGTGGAAGGGAGTAGGGATCAGAGTTGGTGGGCAGGGTGCTGGCCCCGCCCCCTGCCCACCCCCCCTGGTACCTGAGAGGGACAGTAGCACGTTGTTCACGCAGTAGAGCCAGGCGCAGCGGTGCGAAATCAGCTGGAGGCCACAGAGCGACAGGTGGACAGCGGTCAGCCCCCCAGGCTCCCCTGGCCCCCAGCCCTCCCTTGCCTGCCAGGCCTCACCTTCTCCAGTGTATCCTCATGCAGTTCATGCAGGTTGAGGGTATAGATACCTTCCTCGGCTCCCACCACCAGGAACTGGTCTGCAGGTTGGGGTATGGGGTCAGAGGTCAGCCACATCCGGGATTCCCAGTCTCCTTCTTCCTCCCTATCCCTGCTTACCCCGGGTGACAGGGTGAATCCAGGTGATAGCAGCATGGATCCGCAGAGGGCAGCCATTGAAGACCTTGGAGAAGCAGGCGCCCATCTGGAGAGGAGGCAGGAGGCTGATGAGGAAGTTAAGGGGCGGTGGGGGGTGGTGGGGGGGGCGGGCAACAGCTGGTAGGACAGCAGGCGGCCGGGAGGCGGAGCTATGAGACAAACACTTACGTGCACCTTGGGGGTCGGGGGGAGCCCATGGCAAGATGACCTCTGGGAGGGAGGAAAGGAGTCAGGGTCTTACCCACGGACTCCCATCTCTCCCACCCCGCTTCAGCACCCCCTCACCTCAGGATCTTCCCGATGCTTCATGGTGGCCCAGGCGGTGGGGAGCAGGGGAGGACTGGCAGGGCCTGGGTGCGGTAGGGGTGGAGTTCCTGCAGGCACAGAGCGGCCGTGAATTCCAGTCCCAGACCACCCCTGGGCTGGCCTCCTGCTCCCCACACCTGGGCTCACCTGGGAGACTGGGTTGCAGGTCCTCAGCTGGAGGCTCAGTGGGAGATGACCCCAAGAATGGGGCCCTCTTGATGGTTCCTATGGTGTCATCTGGGGAGTCCACCTCCTGGCGAGAGGGTCAGGGGACCCAGCTCGCTGTTAGCAAGTGACCCTGTAACCTACTCTCAGCCAGCAGCACCCCCACCCCCAGCTCCCCTCCACTCTGAACCTGGAGTTCCAAGGCTGGCCGGATGGTCAGGCTCCTGTTGGGGACAGATTGGAGGGAGACGAGATGTGAGGTGTAATGGGGTCATGAGCCCGGTCCCCACACCTCCCCGGGCTGCGGGCCCTCACCTTTCCTCCAGGGCCTCCTGGACTGACTGCAGCAGGCTCCTGGGCAGGGATGGGGAGGGTTCAGAGGTCAGCCTGCCCTCCTGCTCCTGCCCCCCTGCAGCTTCCTTCCCCCTCACTCACCCGCTCAGTTCTTCCTTCCCCAGCAGCGTCCACTCCTCTTCCCACTATGGGGAAACCAAGTCAGAAAGGCCGGGAGGGAGGCAGAGAGACAGACAGGCAACGTGAGAGGGTGCTAGAGAGATGGGGGAAGAGAGAGAGAAGGCAGACAGACAGACGGACAGATGGAAAGTGAGATGATAACAGGCCAGAGAATTGGGAGAGAGACAACAAGAGACAAAGAAACTGTGAAAGAGGGACAAGCGCCAAGAGTGAGAGAGAAGGAGACCGTGAGAGAGACAGGCGCAGAGAGACTAGATTGTGGGGGTGGAGAGAGATGCTGATACCAAGAGACAGCAAGAGAGCAGAGACGGTGAGTCAGACGGCCCAGCAGTCACAGCGACTGAGGCAGAGGAACGTGCCGAAGGAGGGGGTGGGGCGGGGGGTGGTCCTCCAACGAGTGACAGGCCCACGTGTGTTTTTTGGCCATGCTGCATGGAGCACGTGGGATCTTAGTTCCCCAACCAGGGATAAGAACACGCACCCCCTGCAGCAGAAGCGTGGAGGCCTAATCACTGGACCGCCAGGGAAGTCCCAGGCCCACATCTTAGAAAGGCATGATCACTCTCTGCGACTCTCCACCAACCGTCCCAAACAACCTGCCCCAGGAAGGATACCCCAGCCCTCCCGGTCCCTGCACGGACAGGTCTGTTAGAACGGCTCTCCCAGGCCTAAGGGCCAGGCTGCTGCGGTGTCAAGGCTCCTGGATTTGAGATGCTTGGCTGCCCGCATAGCTCCCTAGCCCTGCCCCAAGGACCACCCAGCCACACAGCCAGCCCCTCACCGGCTCGTTCAGTGGGTCTGTTTCCTTCCTGCGTGGGGCGCCGAATTTCACCTGGTGAACTGGGGGCCCAGATCCAGGGGTTAGGGGACTCAGGAGTGATCCCTAAACTCATACCAACTCCACACACAACCCCCCACCAACCCCACACAGATAGCCCTCTGCCAACTCTACCAACTGTATACATTGAGCCCCCCACAAGGCAAACACAAAACCCCCCACCAAGTCCACACTCAGCCCTCCATCACCAGATCTACATACATAGCCCCCCAATCCACACAGCCCCCCACCAAATCCATACACGCAGGCCCCCAATCCACCCACAGCTCCCTCTCCCAAAAACAGACTCACACTGGATCTCCGAGGGGGTCCTCTCGGCTGGGCCATGCTGCCCCCGGGAGTGAATGGTGTCCGGAAATATGTCATAAGTCTACAAGAGAACACACACGGTGGACACACGCCCACACTCAACTCATACTTGGTATTCCTTGAGGTGCTTTATACACACTGGCGTGTTTGTATTCACAATAACGCTCTGAGATTACAGTGAGATTAAATGCACCTTCCTTTCCCAGGTGAGAAAACGAGCACAGAGAAGCAAGGAACTTGCCGAAGATCACAGAGAAAACAGAAGGTGGCTTAAGTTAAGGATCTTCAGTTAAGGTGGCCCTCAAACTTCACAGGACCAAGGGCAAGCACCTATTGGAGTGGGCGAAAAGGAGGCAAACCGGCTCAGGGACGATTCCTAAGGGGTGGGCTCAAGCAGACCAAAGCTCCCTGTGCTGCAAACAGATGAGCTGCAGGGACGTGACTGTATCACCTCTGTATTCCTCACCCACAGACCAGGCCAAGACCCAGTCCCCAGGGGCTCTCACCTACCTCCAGGTCACAGTCTTCTGGAGAGGGGGTTCCCAGGTGGGGATCGTTGGCCTTGTCCAACAGCTGTGTGAGGAGAGCCCGAGGCAGCTGCTGGGTTGTGAAGGGGTGCTGGAGGATGGAGGGGGCGCAGCTTGGTTCCTGGCTTCTGGTCCCTGCTTCGGAGCATCAGGCCCCCTGCTCCACCCTCCTGCCTCCTACCTGCAGAAGCTTCTCTGCCGTTGGTCTCTTCTTGGGATTCTTGGTCAAGGCAAGCTTGAGGAAGTGATGGAAATTCTGGGTCCTAGTGGGTACAAGAGTCCCCACAATCCCGGCCCAGGTTAGCCCTCAGCAGAGCATCCTGCCCCCACCCCAGAGGATTCTGCTGAGCCTGCCCAGGAAGGAGCCAGCTTGAGGCTGCGGGCAGCTGGCCTGAGCAACATTGCTGTTGCGACATGGCAGTGCGTCTATCAGCCATCTGCCTTTCTTCCTTGTCCACACAGGTCCCCGGCGCGGAGGCAGGGCCCAGGCCCCACTCCTGCAGACGGTCTGTGGAGACCCAGGATGGGCAGACCCTCAAGGCTGCACCCGGGGAGCCGGCAGACAGCAACTCCACCGACATTGGGCTGGACTGAAAGGGGGGCCCCAGCAGGGGATGTGGCCCTTACCAGCGAGTCTTGTCTCTCAGCTTTGGCGGCTGGAAGCTGCTCTTCGACATGAGCATCAAGGCCCTGTGGAGACCACAGGTCAGAGGTCAAGGGTTACAGGGCTCTTGGGCCAGGCCAGGGGCAAGTGTTCTGCTGACCTCATGGGATGCAGGTGGAAGAGAGGCGGCTGCAGCTCGCCCAGTTCGATGGCGGTGATGCCCAGGGCCCAGATGTCACACAGCTCATTGTAGCCACCTTTGCGCTCCACGGCGGCCACCTCTGGGGCCATCCTGGAGGCAAGCTCACATATGAGATGGCCAGGGACCTCCACTCACAGCCCCTACCCCCTCAGCCAGAGGCGCAGCCTCACCAGTATGGAGTCCCAATGAAAGACCTCCTCTTGGCCACGGATGCTGTCAGCTCGCCTGACACCCCGAAGTCAGCTGCAGGGAGAAAAGCTGCTCTCACTCCACCTCAGGCTGCCACTCCCCACCCACGGCCAGGGCACAGGCTCAGGATGCACTTGGCGGGGCTCCGACAGCAGGTGGCCCAGGCTCAGCCACAGCGGCCACAGGCACGAGGCAAGGCCAGGTTCCCTCCTGGGAGGGGTCGACCACCTTCTAGCCCTGACCCAGTGCCCGGTCCTGGGTTAGACTCCATACAGACCCAACCACATCCAACTTTCCAGCAGGAAGGGAGAACAGTGCCACATTCTAAACGGGGAACTAAGGCTCAAGTGGTAAAACGACTTGCCGGAGGACAAGCAGGCTCCCAGACTCCAGAAGCTCCCACAGAACCCTCGCCCTGATGGTGTCCCCAAGGTACTGACCCAGCTTGACATCTCCCTGGAGGGTGAGGAGAAGGTTGGCTCCCTGTGGGAATGGAGGAGAGAGAATCCCGTCTGGTGCCCCCGAGAGTCCCCTCCTCCCGCCCATGATGCGCTTGGCCAGACCCCTACCTTGATGTCTCTGTGGATCTTCCCCTGAGAGTGCAAGTGATGCAGCCCCTGCGGACAGAGGAGCCCCTGAGAGCAGCTGCCCCGTGTACCTGCCCTCTCCTGACCCCCCAGGCCTGGGGCCCCCCACCCAAGCAGCTTCCTCTACCCCTCTCCCCAAACAGGAAGTGACTGAGCCAAAAGGGAAATGGGCTGCTTCCGGCAATAGGGCTGGGGCCCCTTCCCCCCCAGGACCCACAGCCCCTCAGGCAGCTCAGCCTGAGGGACTCCACCCACCCCACCCCACCCCACCCCACCCCACACAGGGGACTGCTGGGCTGCCTGCCCTGCTCCTGGGGACGAGGGTGTGAGCAGTCCTACGGGCCCAGCTACCTTCAGTGCCTCCCGACAGACATAGGCAATCTGCCGCTCCTCCAGGGGCCCGGTGGCTGCAATGGAAGGGGTAAGGGCTGGCTTGGGAGTCTGGGGGTGATATGCTGACCCACCCAGGCTTCACCCTGTGTAGGGGAAGCAGCAGGCACGGCTGGCAAAAGGGGAGTTGGCCACATCCCCTCCCGACATAGGGTAGGATATACAGCCCAGAGAAGGACAGCATTTTTCTCAAGGTCACACAGCCAGTGAGACGTGGAGAGGGGCCCAAGTGCAGGGCCTCAGTGCTCTCCTCCTGCCCTATGTTGGGGTAGGGGGATGGGAAGAAGGCTGTGGCCCTCTGGGGCTTGGAGTCCTAGCCCTCACCGTGGTAAATCTCCTGCAGAGACCCCCCTCCGCAGAACTCCATGCAGATCCACAAGCGGTCATTCCTGGGGTGACACAGAGCTGGGGTGGGCACATGGCAGGGCCACATGGGGGCTGCCTGGGGGCGGGCAAGGGGATGAAGCAGCCTCACCTGAGGTAGCTGCCAATGTAGGCCACCACGTTGGGGTGGCGGCACTCACGCAGGATGGTGATTTCCTGCTGAAGGGAGCTGATGTCGTCCCCTGGGAAACACAAGGCATCATGAAGGGGGCCGCCTTAACTCAGTGCCCCCATCTGCAAAATGGGCACAGAGTGCCTCCTCTCTTCAGGCCAGACAGGTGCCAGCCGACAGTACCTCCTGGGGCTTGCCTCTCAGGGGGACCTTGGAAATGTCAACTCTCCGCCCCTCACACCGCGCCCGCCCGCGACGCGCTCTGGCCTCCCTCCAGCGCTGAGGCCCTGGCTCCCGGCCCTCACCTGGGTCTAGCTTGACTATTTTGACCGCGGCCAGTTCGGACGTGACCGTGTCGCGGGCCTGCAGGGGCGGAGGGTTGAGGAGGGATGAGGGGGGGGTGAGGAGGGATGAGGAGGAGGCGGGGCCGGGGGCCAGCTCCCGCAGCAAGACGCAGAGCGCGTACCCCCGCTCTCCGCTCTCCCGCCCGGCCCGCCGCCCGGCGCACCTTGTAGACGTCGCCATAGGTCCCGGCCCCCACGCGCTGCAGCAGCTCGAAGCGGTCCCGTGGATCCTGCAGCGACACGTTCTGCAGCAGCGCCATGGCCCGGCGCCGGGCAGGCGCGAGCTGCGGAGCCGGCGCGGGGCGGCGCGGGGCGGGGCGGGGCGGGGCGGGGTAGTACCGCCGGGGCGGGCGCCGGTGGCTCCGAGGCCGCGGGGGCGGGACCGGGCCCCAGGGCGGGGCCAGGCCGGGGATGCCCCGCCGCCCGGCCGGGAGGAGGCGCCCGCGGGACCGACCCTCGGCGGCAAGGGGAAGCCCCGATCCCGGGCGGAGCGGGCGGCCCCGAGGCTCTTCCGTCAGCCACTGGTTCCTCGAGCTCTACAAGTGGGGAGCCTGAAGCCCGCGGGGCCAGAAGGCAGAAGAGGGGACGCTCCACCCCAAAATTCCCAGATAAAACACCGACAAGTATTTTTTTTTTTTTTTTTACAAAATGTATTCATCTTCCTTGGAACTGAAAAATAAATCTATGTACAAAACAGGAAGAGATCAGGCTCCCCTCACCCACTCGCAAACAAACCCCTGTAGATTTCCTCTAGGGTCCCCCGAGATAGGCTGGACCTCGGGGAGGTTCCCAGAGGGTCGGAATAAAGGTCTGCTCTGATCTAGGGCCAGTCCGGGCAGGGAGGGGGCAGGGCTCAGGACTCACACAGGCCGGGGGCAGAGTTTCGTGTCCCCGACCCATGCGACAGAGAAGGAAGCTAGCATTTCCAAATTCTGGAAGCGTTTCTTAGGTTCTTTGTGGTAGGGGGCTTGGATTTCCCAAGGAATGGAATTCTGAAGTGCGGAAACGTTCACCTAGGAACTGGGCGGGGTCCTTGGTTCCTGGGCTGTAGGTGGGACCTGTGCTTCTAGGGTTTAGAGTGAGAGTCCCATGGGCTGGAAACAACCCTGAGCCAATACCGGTCAGGACGAGGGTTAGAGCCTCGGTTCTGAGGTGAATGCTGTTTCCCGTGGCTGGACCTTTAAAGACTGGTGATGGGCTCAGAGGGGAAGTTTCAGATGGCCGGCTGGGACCCTAGGGGATGGGCTCTATATTATTCCAATGACTGGGCAGAGCCCTCGATTCGGGCGCTGGGCAGAGTCTGTACTCTGGGAACCTGCAGCCTGGGTTCCGGGTAGGGATGGGGCCTAGGGGCGGAGCCTGGGCTCAAGAGGCAGGGATGGAGCCTCGTCGGGCTGAGGGCGGGCTCTCGGTAGGCGGATATGGAGTCCGGGTACTTCAGAGACCCTTGCGCTGCCGCTTGAGGAAGGAAAGCGTGTAGTCACTAGGTGTAGACACTTTCTGCTTCTTCATCTGCACTTGTGACTGCGCCGTGAGCTGCAGCTTGATGGCGCTCGAATTGATCTTGGTGGCCACAAGCAGCTCCTTCATGCCTTTCATCTTCTCGCTCTGGAACGTCAGCACTGGACCCTCGGGTGGCGGTGATGCGGCGGGTGCCGGCGCTGGAGCCGTGCTGCTGCCTTCAGCGCCACGGGCAGTCCCGGGGACTGTGCCTGGGGGCTTCCGAGGGGGTCCTGGCACCGCACCCTGGCCCGCGCCTGGGCCCTTGTCCAGTGCCGGCTTTTTAGGAGGCGGCGGCTCCTCTGGCTTGGATTCCCGCCGTGGGCCCCGCCGCCGGCCTTCTCTGGCTTCCTCGCCCCACGGCTCTTCAGCCTCGGCCGCCTCCGCCTCTCGGCTCACTATGCGTACCTTCTGCCTCACCTGAGCCGCATGGGGAGGACAAGCGAAGGTCAAGGTTGCAGGCCAGTGGCTGGCAAACCGCGCCCCGGCCATCTTGGGGCGTTGCACCCAAAGGGGAAGGGCGGATCCCCTACAGGGCTACAAAGGTTCTGACTCCTCCAAGCTGCTGTCACCACCTGCCCTCCCTGCCACCCTGCACAGCTGCCCCTCACCTGTCCCTCAAAACGGCCTAGGGACTGCACAAGGAAGGTGGCCCAGCCCACGTGCAGCACGGGCGTGGGGCTGCCCTCTTCCCATTTGCAGATGCCATCGTAGAATCGCAGCAGATGGGCAAAGCACTCTGGGTCCTGGAGGGCAGAACCCTGGCTCTGCGTGCCCTGAGAAAGGGGGAAAGGAGGGCACAGTTATTTCAGACCCCATTACTCACCCCTCACCAGGGGGAACAGGCCAGACCTCTCGCCTGGACAGAGAGCCCTGGCCCTGGCGGAGGTGAGTAGGGATGGAGAGAATTCTTAGAAACTCCTTCCTTTTATAAATCTAGTCCTTAGCCTAGACTTGGGGGAAGTGGGGAACCACCCTTTACCTCCATTTCACCCCCTCAACTGAATGAGTGACCCTGATGGAGAAAGAGAAGGGCTTCCATCCCATTTACCTCAGCTCCTTAGACCCAGACCCAGGCCCTCAGCTACTGTGTAAGAGAACACCGCTGTCTCCCTGTCCTCTGCCGCCCCCAGTCCCATGCAGTGGTTCCACGTCCTGTGACTGGGAGCCCTGCTCAGGTGGGAAGGTGTGCACAGGCTGAAGCCCAGCCTTTCACCTGGGTCTGCTCCGCGGGTCGTTCCTCGCCAGCCTCCAGCAGGCTGGCGGCCTCCTTCAGCAGGTTGGGGATGACATCATTGGCTACTTCAAAGAACTCCTTGTAGATCTCCTCGTCTTCACGGCAGTAGTTGTAGCTGTGAGGGCAGCAGAGCACTGTGGGGTCTCAGCCATGGCGGGTACCCCCAGGGACCTGGCAGGGGAGGGAGCCCTGGTTTCTTTTCCGGGATCATCCGGGGACTGGAGTGAATGGTTGGGGTCCTCACTCCAAGATGATGGTGCTGTATCAGCCCAGAGCAAGAATGAGGAGGGGGCTGGGGATACAGAGCTGGATGGCAGTGGTCAGTAATCAGGAGAGGGGAGGGAAGGAAAGGCCAGAGGTCCTCAGGGGGGGGTCCCTACCTCTCAGGCGATGATGGTCTTGGCTGCCTAGTGACTAGGAGAGGGGATAAAACTTGGGACCCAGGCCTCCCTCCTGGACGAGAGGGGTTGTAAATTGGGTGGAAGGGGAAGAAAGCCGGGCTGGGGTCCCGTGGGGGCATCCTCACTCCTGGATGACAGTGGCTGTGTCGGCCCAGGCCTGCAGAGCTTCGCGGACATTGCGGTTGCGACAGTGGTAGCCAGCCAGGTACATGTAGGGGTAGATGTGCTCATCCCGATAGTAGGTCTTGGCTGAGGCAATGCCCTGGGGATGGAGCAGAGGCGTCTCAAGGAGGTGGCCCCAGATGGCACAAATGTTCCACTGGATCACAACTGGGAGGGGCATCAGGAAGATTCCAGAGAGTCCCCTCCCATGAGACCCTACTACCCTGGTCACCATCTTCTCCACCAGCTGCCCCTCCCCTGGTCTGCAGGTCTACTTGCTCAGGCCTGGGCCAGGCTGCTGCAGGCACCCTGCAGACCAGGCCTACGAAGGGGCAAGGCTTATCCTCCAAGCTCAGGTCTGCCCTTTCCTGAACCTTCCCCCACAAACACCACGGCCTTCCAAATCCAGCCCAATGTCCCTCCTAGCCCAGGAGCCCCCAGCCCCACCAACTTAATACTCCCGCCTCAGTGCTCTCACCATGTTTGACTTCTTTTATACTCCCAGAAGGACAATGACAGGCAGTAGAAAAAGTAGGGCTGAGGAGACAACTCTAGGACCTACCACTCCCAGGCAGAGAAACCAGAACACCTCTCAGACATCCCTGACTGCATTTAATATGCACGCAGTAAATACAAAAAGGGGACTGGATGGGTGATACCCCACAATACACACAAAGTTCTCTCCTCACCTGCCCCCCCAGTTCCCAGGTAGAAGGGGACCCCAGCCACCGCTGGGCAGCCCTTCTATACCTACAATGTCCCCACCTTGTGGTAGAGCGTGAGTGGGTCCGGCCTGCCTGGGGTGGGCTCCAGCTCCTCCAGATCCGCCAGGTTCCCCAGCGCCATCGGGTACCTGGGAAAAGCTCGTAAGTCCAGGCTGTCCCAAAGACAGCCCTGGGGCCCAGCCTGGCCACTCCCCCTACTGACCTTTCCAGATGTCCCAGGTCATAGAGCAGCCAGAGCAGCTTCTAGGGGCCAAAGGAGAAAAGTGCAAGCTGGTGAGACGGAGGCGCGACCTCAGTCTACCAGGCAGAGAGAACGGTCCAGCACCAGTAGGGGACCCTCCCCCAGGTGGGAAAAGCCAGAATTCAGGAACTAGCCCCTGACTGGAGTCAAAGCACTTTCATGTCTCAATTTCCCCCTTCCCAAGAGCCCCAGGAAAGTCCAGGCCAAGAATGATTCACCCACGTTACAGAATGGGGAAGCTGAAGCTCAGCAAGGGAAAGCACCCTGGCCCAGGGTCCCACAGGTACCCTCACCTGCTGCAGCTGCAATAGCTCCAGGGAGTCGGTGTGCAGGTCAATGGAAGGGTTGATGGCGCATACCATAAATGCCACCTCCATCTTGCGGTCACAGCGCATGTACGATCCTTTCAGGTACAGCCAGCTCTTGGGAGAGGACAAGACCAGATGTCTTATGATGGCCCACCAGTGCCTGCTGTAGGGACTGACATCAGGAACAGGGCCCTCCCCTTCCGGACATATGAAGGTGGTGACAGGATGAGGGGAGCGTGGCCCAAGAAAGCAGAGTTCCTTGGGTTGCCTGGGGTAGGAGAATATGGGGGGGTAGGGGAGTGCAGTACCCGCTCAGCCACACCCGCGTTGACTGTCTGGCCCCTGCGATCCTCATTGCCTTTGCCATGCCAAGTGACTTCAGCTGTTTGTTCTCCATTGGGCCCAAACACTACCCAGGCGTGGTCTTCGGACAAGGCCAGGTGGACATCCCGGAGACCCAGAGCCTGGCAGGCCCCCACCACGGCAAAGGCCACACCAGAGCTGTCCAATTTGGTGCCTGTGGAAGGGAGAGTAATGAAAGAGGGTCCTCTGAGTTCTGGTCTGTGGGAAGGGACCCGACAGCGATAGGCCATGCTCCCTCCCACCCTCAACTGCATACCTTTGCCCTCAGACACTCCTGCCAGACTTCCCTCTATCTCTTTCCGCCTAACTGTTCAGGGCCTCTCCCTCCGCCCCTTACATTCCCCATCCTCAACAGGAGACCTTGAATTTTTCATAGTACCCCAGCTTTTGACCCTGCCTTTTCTCTTTCTCTGCAACTGTATTATGTATTTCTGCTAATTTAAGCATTTCCTCATTTTACTGTACTAGGTTATAACCAGGACACTGGCCAACAGTTTTTTATACACCCACTGATGGACACTCCTAATTTATCTCTGTCCTCTTTTCTTGCTAAGCTCAGAAGCAGCCTCAGATTCCTTCTCAATATGGCACTCCAGGACCTGACTGCCGGTTAACTGGCCTTAGAACAAAGAGGAAAGCTCTTTGCAAGTCCTGAGCCTTCAGCTTCTTAAGGTGAAGCCCTAGTCTGTTCACCTTCAAAATGTGTTCATAGATACTTCATGGATTGTCTCAATTCCATGAAACATAACCTGATTTTGGCTCCTCGCCCCCTAAATCTTCTGCTGCCCTCTGTGCAGTAGCCAAGGTGCTGAAGGGGCAGAGGGTGGGCTCAATGGATTTGGAGTCAAGTGACTGAGGTCCAGTCCCAGCCCTGTCACTCTGTCACTTTGGTAGATCAGTTTCTCTCCTGGGGCTTCAGTTTCTCTAGCTGCAATGGGGGACATAACACTTGGCCCACCTCGCAAGGCTCACAGGTCTACAACGCGCTCTGTAAACCACAGTGTTGGGAAGAGGTGGGCCAAGATTCTCATGTGAGACAGCCACCTGTCTCTTGCCACCTGTCGGGCTCCAACCTGTGATGAAGCTGAAGAGGGACTGGATGTGGGCCCGATCCTTGAAGTAGGAGCGGCTGAGGCTATTCCAGATGACATCGGAGACCTTCTTGACCAGTTCACGGCTGGAGACGCCCCCCTCTCGCGGGTAGAGAGACAGATCAACCGCGCCGCGGATCTGGGCGGTGAAGCGGGCATAGAGGGCAGCGATGATGGACAGGTCGGCCACCGGGAAGTAGGTGAGGCCGCCAGGAGGGTCGGGCGCAGGGCTGGGCTGGAAAGTGAGCTCAGGCACGTTGGTGGGGATGACGCGGTTGACAGCTAGGAAATGCTCCACGAAGCCCAGTACCAAAGATAGGAGCACCAGGTCCGGCTCCTCTCGGCCCAGCTCGGCAGCGAACAGGCGCACCACATCGTCGATGGAACGCAGCGGGAACAGCGTTTTCTGGGCAGCCTTCAGCCCCATGGCTGCGGCCCTCGGCCTGCGGGCGAGCGGAGGGGAGAGAGGGTCGGGTGGGCACGGCCCACGAATCCCCTCCCAGGCTCGGCTAGCGTTCCACACCCCCCTACACACTCACAGACACCAACCCTTGCTTCCCCGCCCCTTCACGCTCCGCTCATCTCTTCCCCCTCTTTCGTCAAAGAGACCCCTCAGCCGAGGCTGTAGGGCCTTCTTGTCCCCCACAACACTAGGAGCCCCGGCCCCGATGGAGGTGAGTCCCTAGGACCCCGCTGAGCACTACAAATGGCCGCCCCGCCCCCTCTCTGCGCTCATACCCCCGGGGCCCTAGAGTCCGCCGGAAGGCGCCCCTAGGTCAGTCCCCCCAAATCCCAAGGAGAGTCCTGGCCTAGGTCCCCCGCGCCCACCTCCGCGCTTACATCCCACACAAGGCACCGCGGCGCCCGCCGCCTGAAGCCCGCTGGGAAATGGAGTTCCGCCCCCCTCGGGCCGCAGTGCCTGCCGGGAAGTGGAGTCCAAGGCCCGCTGTTGTCCCTGCCAAGTCTTGAAATGGTGGCCTGGCCGGCCAGTCCGCGGTGACTTATGGGATTGGTAGTCCCGCTGCTCTGGGCGCACCAGAGGTCGGAGAAGAGCGGAGGCACCCGCGCCTTTCTGAGGTCCTCAGGGATTGGTCATTCCATTTCACGCAGACCCAGGTAGCCGAGGAACCGCAGTGCCTTCTGGGAGATGTAGTCCAGGGAGTGAGCGGGCAGTGTCTGCGCTTCTGCAGGTTGTTGCTTGTTGGCAAGATGTGATGACAACGGGTACTTTTTAACACTGCTGGAGTACTGCAAACGTGTTCAGCCACTTTAGTTGGTTATTTATCAGTATCCATTAACGCATAAAAGTGCCTGCTATATGTCTAGCTTTCTGTCCACGGGGTAAATCTGACACGTGTGCAAAGAAGAACATCTAAAGATCCATTGTAGTTATTTGTAACACAGCAAAAGAAGAGTAAAGTAACTCTCTGCATCCTAAAATGGATCTTCAGGGCACACTGTTCAGGGGGAGAGTCTGCAGAACAATATGTATGATGGGGTAGTATTTATATTAGCATTTAAAAACTTCAAAGTAATACTAAATAATTTCTACAGAATCAGTCACTCACTTATTCATTTAGGAAACAGATTTTTGCTGCCTATAATGGGCCAAGCTCTCAGGCACTGGCTATGTATCAATGAGTAAACCAGATCAAATCCCTAACCTACTTCACTTCTGTACATTTCTCCCCACAAAACTGTAAATCTAGTCTAATCATGAGAGAAGTTTGGGCGAACACAAACTGAGGGACTCTCAGGCTGGCCATACCTGACAGCTCTCCTCAAAAGTGTTCCGGTCATGAAAGACAAGGAAACCTCGAGACACCGTTGCACATTAGAAGCTACTAAGGAGATAGGACCCATGTGGTGTTCTAGGTTGAATTCTAGACCAGAGGAAAAAGGAATTAGTGAAAAAACTGGTGAAGACAGTGGCCAATTGGCCCAGCTTGACCAAGTCTGAGGGGACTTCAGGGGAGTGGGACTCTCAGTTTTAAAACTAAACCAGTCAAGTCTTGGGCACCTGTGAACCCTTATGAAATTCAAAAATATCTGTAGCTTCATTTATAATTTTCATCCCTAAGTTTTGATAAATGTACTGTGTTGTGTATGATATTAACATTTAGGGAAGTTGAGTGAGGCATATATGGGAATTCAACCATCAAGGACTGAGTTCTGGGGTACCCCTTCATGTAGAGGTTGGGAAACCAGGAGGAACCAGCAAAGGATTCTGAGAGGAATCAGCCAGAGAGATGGGAGGAAAGCCACATGGGCATTTGGTTTAGAAGACCAAGGCAGAGGAATGAACCATAGGGTTGGATGCTGCCCACAGGTCAGCAAGCTGAGCACCAAGGACTGATTGCATTTTACTCTGTGAGAACCCCTGGCGACCACCTTAGGAGTGGTTTGGAAACAAAAGCCCAGAGTTCTTGGGCTCAAGAAAAATGAGAGGAAAGAATTTGGAGACATGATAATAAACAACTCTTTTAGGGAGCTTTGCAGAAGGGAAGAAAAAAACAAGCTGGCAACTGGAGGTAGAAGAGGGTCAAAGGAGGTCCTGGTGTTGTGGCTGTTTTGGGGGGTTTTTTGATAGGTAAGAAGTGGATTTATTCAGATACAGAGCTAGGCACACTCCACAGACAGAGTCTGGGCCATCGCAGAGGGTGAGTGCAGCCCCGAAATCTGGTGTGGTTAGTTTTTATAGGCTGGGTCTTGATGTCTCATTGCAGAAAGAATTCAGACAAAGTGATAGGTGAGGAGTGGATTTATTCAGATACAGAGAATCACACTCCACAGAGTGTGGGCCATCGCAGAGGGTGAGTGCAACATGGCTGTTGTTTAACAGGAGAGAAGCAGGACTGATGACCTTGAACAAGTAGAGAGTATGGGAGTTCCCAATTTGCAGGTGTGTAGAAAAAAATTTTTTTTAATTTTAAAAAACCCCACAATTTTCAGGCTTGCCCTTTGCTAGTAGCATGAACAGTCTAGTCACAATAATTGGAGATAAGGTAAGGTACACATAGGAAGCCCAGCTGTTCTTCCTCCCAAATGCCATCTTCTCAATGAGGCTGACCCAGACCTAACTAGCCTACTTAAAATCACACTCTCCAACCAAAATGCTTCTTCTAACCCCTCCCCTCCACTCTGCTTTCTAAAATGTTTTCTTCTAAAGCATTAACAGCTTCTAGAACAGGGTTTCTCAACCGGGGCACTATTGACATTTGTATCCGTATACATGCTCAGTCAGTCGTGTCTGACTTTTGAGATCCCATGGACTGAAGCCCACCAGGCTCCTCTGTCCATGGGATTTTTCAGGCAAGGATATTGGAGCGGGTTGTCATTTCCTACTCCAGGGGAACTTCCCAACCCAGGGATCGAACTCATGTCTCCTTTGTCTCCTTAACTGAAAGGTGGATTCTTTACCACTAACGTCACTGTAGTTGGGGACTGATTTGTGGGATGCTTAGCAGGATCCCTGGCTTCTCCCCCTTTAAGATGTCCCTCCCCCTGTTGTGACAGTAGAAATGTCTCCAAACATTGCCAAATATCTCTGGGGGGCAAATTGCTCGCTGTTGAGAACCACTTCTCCAGCATCTCAAAAGTGCTGCATCACTTCAGTCATGTCTGACTCTCTGTGGCCCCATGGACTGTAGCCCACCAGGGTGGTCCAAAACTGTTGCTGTTGCCCAGTCACTCGGTTGTGTCCGATTCTTTGCAACCCATGGACTGTGGCACGCCAGGCTTCCCTGTCCTTCACAATCTCCCGGAGTTTGTGCAAACTCATGGCCATTGGCTCTGTGATGCCATCCAAGTATCTCATCCTGTGTTGCCCCCTTCTCCTCCTTCCTCAGTCTTCCCCAGCATCAGGGTTTTTTCAATGAGTCAGCTCTTCTCATCAGGTGGCCAAAGTATTGGAGCTTCAACTTCAGCATCAGTCCTTCCAATGAATTGATTCAGGGTTGATTCCCTTTAGGATGGACTGGTTTGATCACCTTGCAGTCCAAGGGACTCTCAGGAGTCTTCTCCAGCACCACAGTTTGAAGGCATCAATTGTTTGGCACTAGCCTTCTTTATGGTCCAACTCTCACATCTCTACATGACTACTGGAAAAACCATAGCTTGACTTATTTATTATTTGTCTCAAACCACCAAAATGTAAGCTCCACAATGACAGGTAACATGTCTGTTTTATTCATGGATGTGTTCCATGTTCCTAGAATAGTGTCCTGTACATAACTGATGTTCAATTATTTGCTGAATAAATGAACAAACACATTCATTCATAGGAGTGATTATTATCACTGGCCCAGAATTTAGGCTGTTTGAGGCGGGGGACAGAAGTACAGACACAAGAGGAATGAGGGACAGCAAAAGTGTGGCAAAATCAATGGATTATTGAACTTCCTTGGTGCTCCAGTGGTTAAGAATCCACCTGCCAGGGCTTTCCTGGTGGCTCAGTGGTAAAGAATCTTCCTGCCAATGCAGCAGACACAGGTTTGATCCCTGGGTTGAGAAGATGCCCGAGGGGAGGAAATGGCAACCCACTCCAGCATTCTTGCCTGAGAAATTCCATAGACAGAGGAGCCTTGGTGGGCTGTCGTCCATGGGGCCACAAAGAGTTGGACACGACTGAGCACACACACGAGCAAGGCAGGAGATAGGGGTTTAATCTCTGGTCTGGAAAGATCCCACATGCTGTAGAACTACTAAACCCATGCACCACAACTATTGAGCCGGTGCTCTAGAGGCTGGGAACTGCGACTACTGAGCTCATGTACCACGGCTACTGAAGTCCATGCTCAACAAGAGAAGGCACCACAATGAGAAGCCTGCACATCACAATTAGAGAGTAGCCCCCACCCGTCACAACTGGATAAAGTCCATGAAGCAATGAAGACCCAGCACAGACAAAAATAAATAAATAAATGGATTGTAGGTTCCAGTGTGGTTAAATCTTTATCGTTGTTGGGGTACTAGAGAGAGCTGGAAAGATAAGGGTGTTAGTTAGAGAGTGGGATGTTTGGCATCAAAATTATGGGGAGAAGGTTGCTGTCATTGTTGGCAGTGAAAATATTCAGGGAAACTTCCTGGTGGTCCAGTGGTTAGGACTCCACCCTCTCACTGCTGAGGACCCTGGTTGTGGAACTAAATCCCACAAGCCATGCAGTGAGGCAAAAAAAAAAAAAAATTTAGAGCAGTGCTTCCAGTAGAAACCTAACTGGAGCTGTATGTATAAATTTTAAATTTCTAGTAGCTACATGAAAAAAAGTAAAAGATACAAGTGAGATTAATTTTTATCACATATATCAAAATGTATTTCAACTGAAGTCAATATAAAATTATTAAGGACAACTTATGTTTTTTCCACACTAAGTCTTTGAACAAGACTTAGTTCCGTACACAGCAAAGGTTCATATGGTCAGAGCTATG